AGAGGCCGCCTTCACTCAGCAGGAAGTAGAATGGAGAGAAGAGAGAAAAGGGAGAGGAGAAGGGTTTGTATAATGATACCGACCAGAGTAAGATGGATAACAGATAGCTGGAGATAGATGAAGCTTCCGCAGTCTTCAAGGGAAGAAAAAGTAAGACGTTGAGTTACAAGGCGGATTTGTACAGGGAGCAAAAGCGTGTACCACCGTGGCCAAGTCAGACTTCCCAAGATACGGGCGCAGCTGGCGCACGAGCCTAAGCTGTGCAAATGCTCCCCTGGTCACCGCTGAAACCTGGGGATCCAGGCTCAGCGATGAGTCCAGGGTCACACCCAAGCTGCGAACCTGCGCCTTCAAGGGGAGTGCGACCCCATCCAGCACAGGCTGTAACCCTATACCCTGTTCGGCCTTGCGACTGACCAGGAGTACCTCTGTCTTGTCTGGATTCAATTTCAATTTGTTCGCCCTCATCCAGACCGTTACAGCGGCCAGGCACCGGTTCAGGAATCTCGACAGCCTCCTTAGTAGCAGGTGGAAAGGAGTGACAGAGTTGGACATCATCTGCGTACAGATGACACCGTACCCCGAAACTCCGGATGATCTCACCCAGCGGCTTCATGTAGATATTAAACAGCATGGGGGACAGTATAGAGCCCTGAGGAACCCCACACGACAAAGGTTGTGGGGTTGAACAGGTGTCCCCCAATAACACCTTCTGGGACCGACCCTCCAGGAATGACCGAAGCCACTGTAGAACAGTGCCCCCGAGACCCATCCCTGCAAGGCGCCACAGCCCTATGAGAAGTAGCTTTAAGGCCGCTGCATTTCCCGTATCACCAACAGGTACACACTCCCACCCTGACTACTTCCCTGCGCAGATCTCCACTTAAGGCAACCAATACCGTCTCGGTATCATTTCCCGTTCTGAAACCATACTTATTCCGGCTCCGAAATCCGTGTCTCTCAAGGAATACTTGAGTTGTGAGCCCACTCTACTCTGATTTACTGGTTTTACATGAATTGTTACTTTTGTAATTCCCATTTATTATGTCGTGTCAGGGCAACCAGTCAATTATATTACATTTATAACAGAACAAAGCAAACAAACAGACAAAATACAAAATTTGCAAGTTTGGTAGTTGATTAAATGTCCTTTGACCAGTATCTGGCCACTTGGAGTGCCTCTGGTGTTGCCGCAAGAAGGTCCTCCATTGTGCATGTAGCAGGGCTCAGGTTGCATTGCAGCAGGTGGTCACTGGTGTGCTCTTCTCCACACTCACATGTCGTGGATTCAACTTTGTAGCCATTTCTTATTGGCTCTGCATCTCGTGGTGCCAGAGCGCAGTCTGTTCAGCGCCTTCCAAGTCGCCCAGTTTTCTGTGTGTCCAGGGGGGTCTCTCATTTGGTATCAGCCATTGATTGAGGTTCTGGGTTTGAGCCTGCCACTTTTGGACTCTCGCTTGCTGAGGATGTTCCAGTGAGTGTCTCTGTAGATCTTAGAAAACTATTTCTTGATTTAAGTCATTGACGTGCTGGCTGATACCCAAACAGGGATGAGCTGGAGATGTCTCTGCCTTGGTCCTTTCACTATTGGCTGCTACTTCCCGGCGGATGTCAGGTGGTGCAATACCGGCTAAGCAGTGTAATTTCTCCAGTGGTGTAGGGTGCAGACACCCCGTGATAATGCGGCATGTCTCATTAAGAGCCACATCCACTGTTTTAGTGTGGTGAGATGTGTTCCACACTGGGCATGCATACTCAGCAGCAGAGTAGCAGTGCAAGGGCAGATGTCTTCACTGTGTCTGGTTGTGATCCCCAGGTTGTGCCAGTCAGCTTTCGTATGATATTGTTTCTAGCACCCACTTTTTGCTTGATGTTCAGGCAGTGCTTCTTGTAGGTCGGAGCACGGTCCAGAGTGACTCCCAGGTATTTGGGTGCGTTGCAATGCTCCAGTGGGATTCCTCTCCAGGTAATAATCCTCAGAGCTCGGGATGCTTCTCTGTTCTTGAGATGAAAAGCACATGTCTGTGTTTTAGATGGATTAGGGATCAGCTGGTTTTCCCTGTAATAGGCAGTGAGAGCACCTAGAGCTTCGGAGAGCTTCTGTTCAACCATCTCAAAGCTCCCTGCTTGAGCAGTAATGGCACGATCATCAGCATAGATGAAACTTTCTGTCCCTTCTGGCATTGGCTTATCCCCATGCTAAGTCTATGAGACGCAAAAAATTAAGAGTCCCTCCCTGCAAGCACTATCTCAAGCAAATATTGACAATTTATTCACACTGTCATTACTTGCAGCAATAGCCGATGTAGTGAAGCAACCAAGTTGGGGGGGGGGGTGTTGAATGCTCTCATTAAGGAGGCCAGACTTGGTGGAGGTGGTTGACAGGGGCGGAGCTGCAGGCTATTGAAGTCTGCTCTGCCCCTGCTGTGCTCTTTGCTTCAGCGTGAGCTAGGAGGCAGGTTTCACCCCCCCCCCTGAAATTTTAACCCCCCCGAAATTTTCAACAACCCCCCCAAATTTTCAACCCCCCCCTCTGAAATTTTCAAAAGTGTCCCCCCCCCCCCCTGAAATTTTCAACCCTCCCCAAAAAATTTTTTTGGCTACGGCCCTGGCCAGAACCATTTAGGGCTTTAAAGGTTAAAACCAGCACTTTGACTTGTGCTTGGAAGCAGACTGGCAGCCAGTGGACCTGGCGTAACAGAGGGGTTGTGTGCTCCCTGTATGCAGCTCGGGTGAGCAACCTGGCTACCAACCGTTGGACTAGTTGAAGCTTCCATGCAGTCTTCAGAGGCAGCCCCACATAGAGTGCGTTGCAGTAGTGTATTCAGGATGTAACAAGAGCATGGACTACCATGGCCAAGTCAGACTTTCCAAGGTACGAGTGCAGCTGGCACACAAGTTTTAATTGTGCAAAAGCTCCCCTAGCCACCACTGAGACCTGGGGTTCCAGGCTCAACGATGAGTCTAGGATCACTCCCAGGCTGCGAACCTGCATCTTCAGAGGGAGTGTAATCCCATCTAACACAGGCTGTAACCCTATGCCCTGTTCAGCCTTACGACTGACCAGGAGTACCTCTGTCTTGTCTGGATTCAACTTCAATTTGTTCGCCCTCATCGAGACCGACACAGCAGCCTCCTTAGTGATAGGAGGAAAGGAATGATAGAGCTGAACATCACCCGCGTACAGATGACATCTGGAGGAGAGAACTTTCCCTCCTCAAAGTAGAACCCCTTTCTGGAAGTTGTTGGATGATCACTCCCGCCATAGTATCGTCTATGAGAGGTGATACAACATGCAACCTGAAAATACCATGTGCCACCCTACTAAATCATGTTCAAATAAGCATTGAATAAACATCTCACTAAAGAGCAGCTCATCAGAAGTAGTTCCCAGAGAGAAATTGTTTCTTCTAGCCTGGTCAGGAGCCAGAAGTGCTGGCCAAAGGTCACTCGTGTTCTTAAACTATGCAGCAAGGCTGTACAAAAATTGGCAATACCCCAAACTTATTTTTCTTAACGAAGAGGCTGAGGGATTCTTACCCAGAGAAGCCACCATCCTGTAATTTTCTTCCATGACTTCCCCATGCAGGGCCCATTGATCTGGATCCAGTAAGGCCCACTCCTCCACACTGAAATGTACAGCCACATCCTCAAATATCACCTGAAAGAACAACATTGGACACACAAATCATTAGTGCTACTTCTACTGCTAAGAAGAATCCTGGTCCATTGAAGTCTGAATAAAGAATTCAAAGAGGTAACTTTCAGCAGTAGTCACACCTTTCTGGGTATTCTAATAACAACAACAAAAAACTTTACTTATATTCCACTTTTCTCATCCCAAAGGGGACTCAGGGTGGATCACAGCACACATACACGGCAAACATTCAATGTTGCTTTTGTATAGACAATACACAGACACACAACAGAAAGGAGGTGTTGTTGACTCAATGTCCAGCTGGGGGTTTTTTTTGGTGCCAAGAAACGCGACTCCAGCCAGAGGGGGTGAGTTGCTCCATTCTCTATGATGAAGAGCCGTCAGGACTTCCTCCTTCCTTTTTGGTTGCCCAGCATTTTCTGATCTTTTTTCTTTTTTATGGTGTCATAAAACACCTCCCCCGCTTTTAGCGGTATTTAATTTCTCTAATTACTGCTAAAGCTGCATAGGTAAACAGTGAGCAGGGCTGACAGTCGACCGCTCACGCTGACCCAGGGCTTCAAACTTGCAACCTCTCGGTTGACAGGTCTTCTAGTTGCTGGTGATTTATCAGCTGTGCTAAACCTCTGTCCCCTAGGTGAGAAGCATCAAGATGGTAAGGAAGTTCATGCAGTCACCTGCAACAGTCAATACCAAGCAAGATTCTGGAAAAGATTGTTAAGGAAGTGGTTTGCAAACACTTAGAAACAAATGTGGTCATTGCTAGCCACGTCCGTAATAGAAGAAAAAGGACTTCAGGAAGAGCATTTTGGGATTTCTTAACAGGAAACTTTGGCAGAAGCAGAAGAAAAGCAAGACCCATTCCATATGAAGTAATCAGGGACATTTCTATAATTATCTCCAGTTAATTTCTACTGTCATCTTTTTACCTGATCTTGCTGAATGGATGCCACTTCTCCTGCATCACAAAGAGTGGAGCCGCCATGTCTTTCCAGCACTCTTGGCTCATCTCCTATGACATGCCAAATAAAGGAAGGGAAGGGAAGCTGGATTTCTGTATTTGTTTTTCAAAGCTCATTTTGAGGTCACAAAGCGGTTTACAATTTAAACAACACAAAAAGGGAACAATTAATGTCCTCAAAAGAATGGTCAGAAGGGAAGGGAAAGGGTTTTATATGGCACAGGCATTCACGAGGTGCAGCCCATTCCGTACAAGACCAGCTTGGAATGTTCTTGGAACATTCTAACTAAATATTTTGGGGGACAGAATAGAAGATCATATGTTTAGGAGATCTTTGGCCAAGAGAAAAAAGGTATCAGCCCCTTTGTCCTCATCTAACAAAACAGCAATGGAAACATCTATTTGGGGACACAACAGCAGACCGGACTTTTGGGGGATTTTTGAGAGCGAGGACCAAGCAAATGAAGACATCTTACCTGGTGGAGACTCTCCTGTGCCCTTCTCCAGCATGATCCGCCCAGAAGGGAAGCCCTGGCTGGTGCTGCCTGGTGGGGCCTTCTGGGCCTGATGCATCTTTCTCACCTGCCGCTCTTTGTGGAGCGACGTCTCCTCTTCGGCCTGACTCAGGAGGAAGCCTTCAGCCAAGGCCACGGCCTGGGAAGTGGTCTCTGCCCCACATTCCCTCACCCAGCACCCCATCTCCTCAGGAAGGACAGCCAGGAACTGCTCCAGGATCAACAGGTCCAGAATCTCTGCCTTTGTATGCTCCTCAGGCTTCAGCCACAGGTGGCAGAGAGAGTGGAGGCGGCTGCAAAACTCTCGGGGCCCCAAGTCCTTCTGGAAGCGGAAGCGCCGGAAGCGTTGGGCCTGAAGGTATGTGATGAAGACCTTTTCATTCCAGACATCCTTGCCCATTGCGCTCGGGAACCAAACACATTTCCTGCCCCAGGTTTGGCAGGGCTCTCTTCCTCCTTCAGGGCTGGGCTGGTTTGGTTTCTCCACTTTCGCTCTGGGCTCCATCAGGACTGAAGAATCTCTTCCCTTCTCCATCTAATGAGGTCACGAAGCAAAGGCTATGCAAGACAAAGAGGAGGGGAAGACCAGGTTAATGAGCTACTCCCCTCAAGAGATAAGGGGTCTTGTAAGAAAAGCAGAGCCCTGGCAGTTGAGAACAAACCTCATGAACTATCAGTATGGAAATCCCCTTGCATTGCTCTTCCTCTCACCTTCAGCTCCACTTCTCTTGTTTCCCTGTATATTCAGTTCTGAAAATGAGAGGAATCCTGGGAGTTGTAGTGTGGCCAAGTCCTTCGCCTTCTCTGCCCAAGAGTGCTGGTGCCTCACCCAACTCCCCCTCCCAGGAGGGCAGACCATTCAGACAACGCAGTTCAAGTGGACCCAAACTGCATTCATTCTATGATCCAGATGCCTCATAGGTGAATGTAACATGCTTTCATTACCAACCACATTTTCCATACAAGCTTGCCTCTAATTCGTCCAACTTCAACCCCTCTTTCCTTCAGGAGCGGCTTATGGACCTGGGCATGTTTAGTCCGAAGAGGAGAAGGATGAGAGGAGATATGATAGCCATGTATAAATATGTGAGAGGAAGCCACAGGGAGGAGGGAGGAAGCTTGTTTACTGCTTCCATGGAGATTAGGACAAGGAACAAGAAAGGAGATTCCATTTGAACATGAGGAAGAACTTCCTGGCTGTGGGAGCCGTTCAGCAGTGGAACTCTCTGCCCCAGTGTGGTGAAGGCTCCTTCTTTGAAAGCTTTTAAACAGAGGCTGTCTGGTCATCTGTCAGGGGTGATTTGAATGCAATATTCCTGCTTCTTGGCAGGGGGTTGGACTGGATGGCCCATGAGGTCTCTTCCAACTCTTTGATCCTATGATTCATGGTCTCCTTTCTTAAAGAGCTGGGCACGTTTAGCCTTCAGAAGAGAAGGCTGAGAGAAGGCATGATGACCATGTATAAATATGAGAGGAGAAGTCATAGGGACGAGGCAGCAAACTTGCTTTCTGCTGCCCTGGAGACCAGGACACGGAGCAATGGCTTCAAACTACAGGAAAGAAAGGAGATTCCACCTAAACATGAAGAAGAACTTCCTGACTGTGAGAGAGAGAGCTGTTCAGCAGTGGAACTCCTTTCTGCTCTGGAGGGAGGGTGTTGGAGGCTCCTTCTTTGGAGGCTTTTAAGCAGAGACTGGGTGGCCATCTGTTGGGGCTGCTTTGAAGGCAATTTTCCTGCTTCTTGGTAGAATGGGGTTGGACTGGATGGCCCACCAGATGTCTTCCAACTCTAGGATTTTATGATTCTCTCCATCCCTTGCGTGGTCTCCCAGTTTAGACTTTGGAGGCCTGGATGTCCTGCCTGCCTCCCCTGTATGAGCACTTGGTAACACATGCCTCTCTTTCCTTCCCGTTGGAGCCTGAGAGGCCCTTCTTCTCCTGCCAGTAGGAAGGCCAGATTGGGAGAGAGAGGAGGAAGGAAGGAGGGGGCCGGTCTGGGAGGGAGGGCCAACTCCAAAGCCCATTCCCAGCCCCCTGGCCCTAGAATCATAGAATCAAAGAGTTGGAAGAGACCTCATGGGCCATCCAGTCCAACCCCATTCTGCCAAGAAGCAGGAATATTGCATTCAAAGCACCCCTGACAGATGGCCATCCAGCCTCTGTTTAAAAGCTTCCAAAGAAGGAGCCTCCACCACATCTGGGCAGAGAGTTCCACTGCTGAACGGCTCTCACAGTCAGGAAGTTCTTCCTCATGTTCAGATGGAATCTCCTCTCTTGTAGTTTGAAGACTGGGCGACTTGGAAGGCGCTGAACAGACTGCGCTCTGGCACCACAAGCAAGAAGCAGGGCCTGGAGGGAGAACCCACCAAGAGGCAAAACATCCCCCTCCCTCCACAGTGGAGTAGGCAGTGGGGACAAGACAGAGCTGGGGAAGAGGGTGGGGTGGGGTCAAAATAAAAACTCACAATATGTAGGGAGGGGAGGAATATGTGTGGTTATAAAACACATCAGAGGAAAGATCCGTCCCTTCTTTCCTTCTTTTCATCTTCTCTTCCTTTCTTTCCCATCCTCCCTCCCTCCCTCCCTACTCTTTTCTTCCCTCCCCTTCCCTCCCTCCCTTCCTTTCATCTTCTCATCCATCCTTCCTTTCCTTTCCCTTCCTTCCCTCCCTCCTTTATTTCTACCTGCCATTCTTCTTTCCTCTTCCTTCTGACCTTCTCTTCCTTCCACCCTTCCTTCTCTTCTTTCCTTCCTTCCTTCCACCCTCCCTCCCATCCTTTCATCTTTCCACCCTTCCTTCTCTTCCTTCCTTAGAATCATAGAATCCTAGAGTTGGAAGAGACCTCGTGGGCCATTCAGTCCAACCCCATTCTGCCAAGAAGCAGGAATTGCATTCAAAGCACCCCTGACAGATGGCCATCCAGCCTCTGCTGAAATGCCTCCAAAGAATCATAGAATCAAAGAGTTGGAAGAGACCTCGTGGGCCATTCAGTCCAACCCCATTCTGCCAAGAAGCAGGAACATTGCATTCAAAGCACCCCTGACAGATGGTCATCCAGCCTCTGCTGAAATGCCTCCAAAGAATCATAGAATCAAAGAGTTGGAAGAGACCTCGTGGGCCATCCAGTCCAACCCCATTCTGCCAAGAAGCAGGAACATTGCATTCAAATCACCCCTGACAGATGGCCATCCAGCCTCTGCTGAAATGCCTCCAAAGAATCATAGAATCAAGAGTTGGAAGAGACCTCATGGGCCATCCAGTCCAACCCACTGCCAAGAAGCAGGAACATTTCATTCAAAGCACCCCTGACAGATGGCCATCCAGCCTCTGTTTAAAAGCTTCTAAAGAAGGAGCCCCGCACACTCCAGGGCAGAGAGTTCCACTGCTGAACGGCTCTCACAGTCAGGAAGTTCTTCCTCATGTTCAGATGGAATCTCCTCTCTTGTAGTTTGAAGCCATTGTTCCGCGTCCTAGTCTCCAAGGAAGCCCTCCCTCTGTCCTTAGCTTTTTTGGGAGTTGTAGTCCTCAGCCCTGGCCCTGTTCCCCGGTGGGACTTCCCTTCCCCTCCCTCTTCCTCCTCTCCCATTCCCCAAAAAACCCACAGAGGGAGGGAAAGGCCTCACCGCGTGGCACCCGGAAGGAAGAGGCGGAAGTAGCTAGTAGAACAACAACACCTACGTCTTCACCCTGCGACTCTGCAGCTACTGGGTTGGGTTCTCCTTCCGGCCACGCCCCCTTTCCCTCCACGGCCACGCCCCCTTCTGGGCAGGAGGGGGAAGTGTCTGGAGGCCTGGCTCGCCCCCTTTGATTTATTTGTCGTGTCAGAACAACCTGTCAATTTATATTACATTTCTAACAGAACAAAGCAAACAAGCAGATTACAAAATTTGTGAATATGGTAGTTGACTAAATGTCCTTTGTCCAGTATCTGGCCACTTGGAGTGCCTCTGGTGTTGCTGCAAGAAGGTCCTCCCATTGTGCATGTGGCAGGGCTCAGGTTGCATTGCAGCAGGTGGTCAGTGGTTTGCTCCTCTCCACACTCGCATGTCGAGGATTCCACTTTGTAGCCCCATTTCTGAAGGTTGGCTCTGCATCTCGTGGTGCCAGAGAGCAGTCTGTTCAGTGCCTTCCAAGTCGCCCAGTCCTCTGTGTGCCCAGGGGGGAGTCTCTCATCTGGTATCACCCACGGATTGAGGTTCTGGGTTTGAGCCTGCCACTTTTGGACTCTTGCTTGCTGTGTCTCTGTAGATCTTAGAAAACTATTTCTTGATTTAATTCGTTGACGTGCTGGCTGATACCCAAACAGGGGATGAGCTGGAGATGTCTCTGCCTTGGTCCTTTCACTATTGGCTGCTACTTCCCGGCGGATGTCAGGTGGTGCAATACCGGCTAAGCAGTGTAATTTCTCCAGTGGTGTAGGGCGCAGACACCCCGTGATAATGCGGCATGTCTCATTAGGAGCCACATCCACTGTTTTAGCGTGGTGAGATGTGTTCCACACTGGGCATGCGTACTCAGCAGCAGAGTAGCATAGCGCTAGGGCAGATGTCTTCACTGTATCTGGTTGTGATCCCCAGGTTGTGCCCCCTTTGAACCCTGGAGGGACTGGGCCCCTTATTTCTGCCATGGCCTCCTGCTTGGTTTCTTCCTTCCTTCCTTCCTTCTTCCAAAAGCCTCCGCAACGGGTCCCAGGTCTCACTTACAGAGCTGCAATACAAACAGATGTTGTTGTTGTTGTTCATTCTTTCAGTCGCTTCTGACTCTTGGTGACCTGCTGGACCAGCCCAGGCCAGAGCTCCCTGTCTGCCGTCACCACCCCCAGCTCCTTCAGAGTCAACCCAGTCCCTTCAAGGATACCATCTACCCATCTTGCCCTTGGTCGGCTCCTCTTCCTTTTTTCCTTCCATTTCCCCCAGCATCATTGTCTTCTCTAAGCTTTCCTGTCTTGTCATGATGTGGCCAAAGGACATCAGCTTTGCCTCTCATATCTTTTCCTCCAATGAGCAGCTGGGCCTTCTTTCCTGAAGTATGGACTGGTTGGATCTTCTGACCATTCAAGGCACTCTCAGAACTTTCCTCCAGCACCACAAATGATGGCTCTGATCTGGACCAGACTTGGCACACAGATACCCCAAGACCAACAGAACACAGTAGAGGGGTTTTTTTTTGGGGGGGGGGGGGGGGACAGGGGCTGAGATATTGCGGTATATAAGTGCATTAAATAAATAAATAAATAATATAGTTCACCCTGCATCTAGAGAGCATTCTGAACCCCACCAATGTGCTTCTTGATTTTGGAAGATAAACAGGGTCAGACTGGGTTAGTATTTGGGTCCAAAAGGGACTACACCTTTGCCTTTCTCTGAGGCTGAGAGAATGTCACTTGCTCCAGGCACACCAGTGGGTTTCCAAGGCCAAATGAAGCTGCAAGCTCTGTCTTACAGAGGGACAATCTAATGCTCAAAACATTTCACCACAAGGCCATAAGATGCCTTTATTTGCAATAAAATAAAATAAAATAGGAGAAACTTCAGTGAACTTTCTAAAACAAGCACAAAAGAGCTGTAAAAAAAATTCGATTCAAACCTGTGACGTTTTGGTCAACAAGTTCAGCAGGTCAGTGCTTTAACCCACTGCGCCACATATGGCATTGTAATCCACCTGAGTGCCCTGCGGGGTGAGAAGGGCGGAATATGAATACTGTAAGTAAATAAATAAGTCAGTGGGGCTGCAAGCTCTGCCTTACAGAGGGACAATACAAGGCTATAAAACATTACACATGAGGCCATAAGATGCCTTTATTTCTCTCTGAGCATTTACAAAAGAATACAAAAAACTGAGCACATTTCAGTGAATTTTCTAAAACAAGCAAAAAAGAGCTGAAAAGGAGGAAACCAGTGTGGAAACCACATCATCTCAACCAGTGAAGCAATAACAGGGCCACAAGGCCAGGACTGGGCCGAACCTGCCAGATTCTCCCTTAAAGTATGCCAAGAAAAGGTCCAAGATAAAAAGGAGATTCCATCTGAACACGAGGAAGAACTTCCTGACTGTGAGAGCCGTTCAGCAGTGGAACTCTCTGCCCCAGAGTGTGGTGGAGGCTCCTTCTTTGGAGGTTTTTAAACAGAGGCTGGATGGCCAAATATCAGGGGTACTTTGAATGCAATCTTCCTGTTTCTTGGCAGAATGGGGTTGGACTGGACGGCCCATGAGGTCTCTCCCAACTCTATGATTCTATGATTCTAACTGTCAGTCTAGGCAAGAGGGAATCAATACAAAGGGGAGAGCAGTTTTCCTGTCCACATGTTTCCTTCATTGTGTGAGTATTCTGGTGCCTATTGAGAACTGAATCCTTCCCACACTTGGTGTGTGTATGTTTTCTCTCCAGGAGAGTTTTGAGACCTGATTCGAGGATACAACTCTTCCCACCCTCGGAGCATTTAGAGGCTTCTCTCCTCTTGAGATTCATTTCCTGATCAATGGGATTTTTCTTCTGAGTGAAGGCCTGACCACACTGCAAGCATTTCCATGGCTTCTTTCCTGTATGGATTTTTAGTATATCTTGAAGCTTGTTTTGCAACTCAATTCTTTCCAAAAGGCAGGAATATGTACAATTTCTCTTTGTATGAACACTTGGTTAATCTTTGTGGATGGATGTGCAGTTCAAGCTCTTATCATATTCTAGGCTTTTTGACTTCTCTTCCTTGTGGGTTTTTCGTGGGCTTTAAGAAAACTCTCTCTCCTATGGAAGCTCTTCCTTCACTACAGACATGTCTTCAATTTTGACTTCTATATAACTATCCTGGACATTTTTGAGATCTGATTTGTAGCTAAAACTCTTCCCAAACTCTCCTGTATGACTCTTCTGGTGAGCTGTAAGAGTGGATTTAAGAATATAATTCTTCCCATACTCCAAACATTTGTAGGGTTTTTCACCTTCCAAGCAGTTATATGGCTTCTCTTCTATGTGGGTGTTTTGGTGAAGCTTTAGGTTCCTTTTCCAACAGAAACTCTTCCCGCACTCCAGGCATTTGTAGGGTTTCTCTCCTCTGTGTCTCATTTCATGTCCAGTAAGAGCTCTCTTATCAGAATAACCTTTTCCACACTCCAGGCATTTATATGGTTTTTCGTGTGTGTGGGTTCCTTCGTGTCGGTTGAGGTGTCCTTTCTGAAAGAAACCTTTTCCACACTCCAGGCATTTATATGGCTTCTCTCCCGTATGGGTTTTTTGGTGTTTGTTGAGTTCTCCTTTTTGAGAGAAGTATTTTCCACACTCCAGGCATTTATATGGTTTCTGTCCTACGTGGGTGTATTGGTGCAGCTTTAGGTTCCTTTTCCAACAGAAACTCTTCCCGCACTCCAGGCATTTGTAGGGTTTCTCTCCTCTGTGTTTCATTTCATGTCCAATAAAGCTTCTCTTATCAGAAAAACCTTTTCCACACTCCAGGCATTCATATGGCTTTTCTTGTATGTGGGTTCTTTTGTGTCTGTTGAGCTGTCCCTTCTGAAAAAAACATTTTTCACACTCCAGGCATTTAAATGGCTTCTCTCCTATGTGGGTGTTTTGGTGCAGCTTTAGGCTGTTTTCCCAACAGAAGCCCTTCCCACATTCCAGGCATTTGTAGGGTTTCTCTCCTCTGTGATTCATTTCATGTCTAATAAGACTTTTCTTTACATAAAAACCCTTCCCACATTCCAGGCATGTATATAGCTTCTGGTGTGTATGGGTATTTTCGTGTCTGTGGAGGTGTTGTTTACAAGAGAAGCATTTTCCACACTCCAGGCATTTATATGGTTTCTCTCCTATGTGGGTGTTTTGGTGCAGTTTTAGTGTATACTTAAAAAAGAAGCATTTTCCACACTCCAGACATGTATAGGATTTCTCTCCTCCGTGATTCATTTCATGTCTAAGAAGACTTCTCTTTTCAGTGAAACTTTTCCCACACTCCAGACATTTATGGGGTTTTTCTGCACTGTGACTCAGATCGTGGCTAATGAGATTTTTACTTGAAACAAAGCCTTTTCCACACTTCAAGCATTTATATGGTTTCTCTCCTATGTGGGTTTTTTGGTGCCTACGAAGGTTACATTTCTGAGTATAGCATTTTCCACACTCCAGGCATTTATATGGTTTCTCTCCAGTGTGGATTTTTCGGTGTCTACGGAGGTTTCTTTTTTTATGAAAGCGTTTTCCACACTCCAGGCATTTATGTGGCTTGTCCACAATTTGGTGTTTCTCAGTGTGTGCAGGGTGTATACTAGACGCCTCCTGGAAGAAGCCATTCTCATAGACAGGGCTGTTTCCCACCTCTAAGCTTTCGTCTATTGTCTCTCCGATTGTGATTATCCTGGTATCGACAGGGCACTGGTTCCTATTACATCCTTCTGTTTCCATCCTCATGCTTCCTTCTTCTTCCTTTTGACTTCTTGCTGTTTTCAGCCACATTTTATCTGGAGCTCCCCCATTGTCACTCCCTTGTCCATCATCACCTTGAAAAAAGAAAAACAAAGATAGGAAGGCATGAGAAATGGGAAGACTGAAATCAATCAACTATAGAAATGTTGAGAGAGAGAGAGAAAGAAGAGGTGAGAATCTTCTTATTGAGGAGAGAACTTTCCCTCATCAAAGGAGAACCCCTTTCTGGAAGTTGTTGGATTATCACTCCCACCATAGTATCGTCTATAGCAGGAGGGGATACAACATGTAACCTGAAAATACCATGAGCCACCCCCCTAAATTATGTTCAAGTAAGCATTGAGTTAATGTCCCATTGAAGAAGTAGTGCCCAGAGGGGAATTGTTCCTTCCAGCCTGGTCAGGAACCAGAAGGTGACTCGTGGCCAAAGGTGACTCGTGTTCCTGAACTATGCAGCAGCACTGTAGAAAAAAGGGAAATTTCCAAAACCATTTTCCTTAAACAAGAGGCTGAGGGATTCTTACCCAGAGAAGCCACCATCCTATAATTTTCTTCTACGACCTCCCCATGCAGGGCCTGTTGATCGGGATCCAGTAAGGCCCACTCCTTCGCACTGAAATGTACAGCCACATCCTCAAATATCACCTGAAAGAACAAAGTTAGACACAAAAATCATTGGTGCTTCTTCAACTGCTAAGAAGAATCCTGATCCACTGAAATCTGATCAAAGAATTCAAAGAGGTAACTTTTAGGAGTAGCAACCCAACCTTCCTGAGCTGGGTCTTCTAAAAAAATGAGAAGCATCATGATGGTAAGTGAATTCATGCTGACTTCTGCAACAGCTGTGGGATGTTTATATTCCTGCTCGAAGATGTGGATATCTATACTTGTAGCAAGTGCTCTAAGAGGCCCGTGTATCCACATATTAGGGAGGGAGAGCTTGCCTTGGTCCCAGGAAATCACCCAGGGAATCTCTCTGAGGAGGAGGTCACTCTGCACACATAAGACGTAGACTGTTGGTAGAAGAACCCGGATTCATTCTGTAAATCAGGAGCTACATAATTAATTCAAAGTTCTCTCCAGCATCAGTGAAGATGTAAAACAAGAAGTGCAACAGAGCTTGTCCTCAGGGAATTGTCCAGGTGCCCTGGGAGAGTGAGTACATGGAATGGCCCTTGAACATCCTCCAAGAAAACCTGTGGTGGTGGTAGAAGGCCTCCTATGAGGGACCAGAAGCAGTGGTTTGTGGGCCTTACAGGGTGACTTGGGAGTTTTGATGTAAAGGTGAGCTTGGCAAGCCTTGTCAAGTCCACAGGCCACTATGCCTTCCTTCTTCTTTCTGTCATGATGAATGATACTGCAATGTGTTGCCTTCAAGAGATCATCTGGGCTTTCGGAGCTATGGGCAGGAAGCTGAAGGGCCTTGATGCCCAGGTCACCATTTTGTCTCTCCTCCCAGTTCAAAGGTGCAGCCCAGGAAGAGAGAGAAGGATAAACAACTGGCTTCGCAGACGATGCTGCCAGGAATGAATTGGTTTCCTGGACTCTGGTCTGAAATTGAATGAAGTTGGGCTTCTGGCAAGGGATGCCTTTCATCAATGCCAAGGGGTGTCTTTACAATAGGTAAAGCAGTACAGGAATATCTGGCTAATCTAAATCAGGGGTCCTCAAACTTTTTAAACAGAGGGCCAGATCACAGTCCCTTAAAACTGTTGGAGGGCCAGATTATAATTTGAAAAAAAAAAACCATGAGTGAATTCCTATGCACACTGCAATATCTTATTTGTAGTGCAAAAAAACACTTTAAAACAATACAATAATTAAAATGAAGAACAATTTTAACAAATATAAACTTAGTATTTCAATGAGAAGTGTAGACCTCCTTTTGGCTGATGAGATAGGATTGTTGTTGTTGTTGTTGTTGTTGTTGTGTGCTTTCAAGTCGTTTCAGACTTAGGCTGATCCTGAGCAAGGACCGGGTAACTGACCCCTGGGCTGTAGTTTGAGGACCCTTGATCTAAATGAATGTTTAAATGTTTAAAAGCAAGCAAGGGTACCCCTCTGGGCAGCTAAACCAGGAAATCCCAACTGGATGGCCCCCTACGAGAGAGGGTCTTTCTCCAGGGGCAAACCAAGAATGGGCAACTTGGAAGTCCCTGAACAGACTGAGTTTTGACAACCTGACAAAATGGCACTACCTAGAAGAGTCCCACATCTTATTTGACTGCGGAGCAGAACAGACAACTCTGCATCTGTATGCTTGTCCACTATGCCCTGCCTCATGTACAGAGGAAGAATTGTTGGAGGCTACAGACAATGCCGTTGCTGTTGCCCGTTTTTGGTCAAAAGATATTTAGCCACCTGTGCTCCTTCTATTTTTATCAGTTTTATACTAATTTATGCAATGCTTTTTATATGAAATAAATAAATCTTTCTTGGGAGGAGAGCAATGTCCAATCTCGATAAAATAGTAAAGAGTAGAGACATCACACTGGCAACAAAGATCCGCATAGTCAAAGCCATGGTATTCCCTGTAGTAACCTACAGATGTGAGAGCTGGACCTTAGGGAAGACTGAGCGAAGGAAGAGAGATGCTTTTGAGCTGTGGTGCTGGAGGAAAGTGCTGAGAGTGCCTTGGACAGCGAGAAGATCCAACCAGTCCATCCTCCAGGAAATAAAGCCCGGCTGCTCATTGGAGGGAAGGATACTAGAGACAAAGTTGAAGTACTTTGGCCACATCATGAGGAGACAGCAAAGCCTAGAGAAGACAATTATGCTGGGGAAAGTGGAAGGCAAAAGGAAGAGGGGCCGACCAAGGGCAAGATGGATGGATGGCATCCTTGAAGTGACTGGACTGACCTTGAAGGAGCTGGGGGTGGTGACGGCCGACAGGGAGCTATGGCGTGGGCTGGTCCATTAGGTCACGAAGAGTCGGAGACGACTGAATGAATGAACAACAACAACAACAACAACAACAACACAATGCTTTTGATACGAAATAAATAAATAAATCTAAATGAATTCAAGTCCTCAGGCCAGATGAATTACAGGCAGTCTCAGAGTTGTTGTTTTTTGTCGTGTCAGGAGCAACCGCTCCTGTTGTGAGAGAATTGGCCGTCTGCAAGGACGTTGCCCAGGGGACGCCTGGATGATTTTTGATGTTTTATCATCCTTGTGGGAGGCTTCTCTCATGTCCCCACATGAGGAGCTGGAGCTAATAGAGGGAGCTCATCCGCCTCTCCCCGGATTCGAACCTGTGACCTGTCGGTCTTCAGTCCTGCTGGCACAGTGCTTTAACCCACTGCGCCACCGAGGGCTCCACAGTCTCAGAGTTACAAACATCCAACATACAAATAATCCATAGTTAAGAAGAGGGCTGAGACAAAAGGGAGATAAATCTACTCTTAAGAAGGGAAAATAACTCCTGAAGGAGTTATCATGGAGAAAAAGTGTCTCCACCGAAGCTTTATCCCCAATCCTTGTTTCCACAACAAGCTAAATTTTCCAAGATCCAATTATCACAAGGATAGAAAGTGAGGTGAAATCTTCTGAATAGGAACACCGCAAAACAAACTAAGTGTGTTGACCCTTCTCCATGTTATTCAAAGCTAAACTATCTATCTATCTATCGCTGGAGTTTCACCTTAAAATGTACCTGTTTTCGATTTACATACAAATCCAACTTATAAACAAACCTACAGAACCTATCTTGTTTGCAACTTGGGGACTGCCTGTACATCCAAGGATATTAAAAGAACTGGTAGAAGAACAACAGGCCTTCATCTCTGAGTACTTTTGGAGAACAAGAGAAATTTCAGAAGACCAGAAGGTAAATGTTGTCTCTATCTTCAAAACGTGGAAGAAAGAGGACCCAAACAATTACCACCCAAGTCAGCCTGACATCAATACCAGGAAGGATTCTGGAGCAGATCCTTAAAGAGACAATCTGTGAGCACTTAGGAAGGAATACTATCACATATCCCATTTCAGTCCTCCTTTTGAAAAGGTTCCTCATGACATTCTTATGATGAAGCTAGTAAAATCTGTGCTAGATAAAACTACTGAGGTGGATTGGTAATTGGTGAACTGACTGAACACAAGAGTTCTTAGTAATGGCTGCTCTCCATCCTGGAGAGAAGTGACCAGTGGGTAAGCAAGGTTTCTGTCCTGGACCAAGTTCTATTCCACATCTTCAGCAATGACTTGGACAACGGAAAAGAAAGCAGGCTTATCCAATTTGCAGGTGACACCAAATTGGGAGGGATAGCTAATACCCCAGAGGACAGGATCAGGATCCAAAATCACTTTAGCAGATTACGGCCGAGCCAAAACGAAGCAAATTAATTTCAACAGGGAGAAGTGTACAGTACTACACTTAGGATAAAGTGAAATGGTCGGGGACATTTCCACAATTATCTCCATTTCGACTGTCATTTTTTTTTTACCTTATCTTGCAGAATGGATGCCACTTCTCCTGCATCAGAATGAGTGGAGCTGCCACGTCTTTCCAGCACCCTTGACTCGTCTCCTGTGAAATGGCAAACATTGGAAAGGGAAACTGGATTTCTTTTATTTGTTTTTTAAGCTCATTTTGAGGTTGGAAAGCGGTTTACAATTTAAACAACACAAAGGGGGAACAATAAGACGTCTTCAAAAGGAAGGTCAGAAGGAACTGCAAAGGGTTTTATATGGCACAAGCATATGCAGCCCATTCCGTACAATACCAAATGGGATGTAAATATTATTAAAACTGTTCTTAAGACATTCTAACAAAACAGTTGTTCAAGACAAGTATTTTGGGTGACATAATAGAAGATCATACGTTTGGGAGATCTCTGACCAAGAGAAAGAAGGGATCTTACCCAGTGGAAAACCCCTCTGTCCTCCTCTAACAAAACAGCCATGGAAACATGTATTTGGGGGATCCTTTGTTGCATGTAAGAAATCAGTTAGTGAGTGCGTTAACAGAAAATGCAAGGCACGAAACTGATTGATTGGGCCATGCCCAGGGAGCTAGTTGAGCCTGGGAGTTTTGGCAACAGTTACATTTTTAAGCTTGAGCTGCGCAGGAGATTACACAGAGAGAGACAGTCCTTGCTTCATGAGCTTCTGGAAGGAGATATTCCACATGGACACCTAAAGACCATTTTGAATCTCTCTCAAAGGACATTGTGTGAGTCTATACAACTGTTCACATCTATATAAATAAAAATGTAATGTTCGTTTGTGGGATTAACAGAACTCAAAAACCAGTGGGCAAATTGGCACCAAATTTGGACACAAGACACCTAACAACCCAATGTATGTCCTTCACTCAAAAAAATTGATATTGTCATTTGGGAGTTGTAGTTGCTGGGATTTATAGTTCACCTACAATCAAAGAGCATTCTGAACCTCACCAACAATGGAATTGAACCAAACTTGGTACACAGTTCACCCCTGACCAACAAAAAATACTGGAAGGGTTTTGTGGGCAGTGTCCTTTGGTTTTGGAGTTGTAGTTTACCTACATCCAGAGAGACTCAAACAATGATGGATCTGGACCAAACTCTACACGAATACTCAGTATGTCCAAATGTGAACACTGGTGGAGTTTGGGGAAAATCTTGACATTTGGGAGTTGTAGTTGCTGGGATTTGTAGTTCACCTACAATCACAGAGCATTCTGAACCCCACCAACGATAGAATTGGGCCAAACCTCCCACACAGAACCCCCATGACCACCAGAGTGGGCCACAGCAACACATGGCAGGGGATGGCTAGTGATTATATATATGTTGCTCTGCATTACAAAGAGTAAACTACTTGTTCTCTATTGATCATCTGCATGGCATATTTTCTTTCTCTGGCAAGACAGTGTATGGACTGATAAAACGTGAACTAAGCATGAGTGTCATTACGCCACAGGTTATGGGCCCAATCCACACCTACTTGTGCCAGTGCCACTGCAAAAGTTATTTTGAAAAGACTGTAGTAAAAATTTCCTGAAGCTGTGTTTTGCAAGAGGAACCAGGAAAGATGGAGGCGAATCTTGCTGATTTCCCAATGGCAAGACTGAATGCCAGTAACTACTCTGTTTGGAGATTGAGAATGGAGAATTACCTAAGGAGGGAATCTTTATAGGAGTGCACAGTGGCCCCAGTCCAAGAGCAAGCTACAGGGAAACAACGCAGAGCTGATGAGAGAGCCAGATCAATCCTCATCCTAAGTATGGATGACGAACAGTTGATCCAGATAGGCAGCCCTCATGATTTAGGTGAGACTGAGAGGAGCTAGCTGAGCCTGAGAGGAGCTAGCTGAGCCTGGGAGTTTTGGCAACAGTTACATTTTTAGGCTTGAGCTGTGCAGGAGCTTGCACACAGAGAGACAGCCCTAGCTTCATGAGCTGCTAGAAGGAGATTTTCCACATGGATACCTAAAAACCATTTTGAATCTCTCTCAAAGGACATTGTATGAGTCAGTGCAACTGTTCATACGACTGTATATATGTTGCTCTGCATTACAAAGAGAAAACTACTTGTTCTTTACTGATCATCTATATTGCATACTTTCTTTCTCTGGAAAGACAGTGTGTGGACAGATAAAAATGTGAACTAGGCATGATTTTCATTATGCCACATCCTTGAGAGCAAGGGAACAAGTGAATGAAGATATCTTACCCGGTAGAGACTCTCCTGTGTTGTCTTCTAGTTCAATCCACCCAGAAGAGAACATCTTGCTGGTATCCAATGTGGCCTCCTGGGCCTGAAGGACGTCTCTCTCCTGTTGCTCTTCCTGCAGGGCCTTCTCCTCTTGGGCCCGACTCAGGAGGAAGCCTTCAGCCAAGGCCACGGCCTGGGAGCTGGTCTCTGCCCCACATTCCCTCACCCAGCACTCCATCTCCGCAGGAAGGATGGCCAGGAACTGCTCCAGGATCACCAGGTCCAGCATCTCCACCTTGGAGTGTCGCTGGGGCTTCAGCCACAGGCGGCAGAGAGAGTGGAGGCGGCTGCAAACCTCTCGGGGCCCATCAGCCTCCTGGAAGCGGAAATGCCGGAAGCGCTGGCATTGAAGGTCTGCACTGAACTCCTTCTCATCTAACGCATCCTGCCCTATTCTCCCCCAGGATACAACACTTCTTCTGTCCCACATTTTATTGGGCTCTCTTCCTTCTTCGGGGCTGGGTGGACTTGGCTCCTCCATCTTCAGTCTGGACTCCGAAACAGCTTCCATCTCGGTTGAAGAACCTTTTCCTTTTTTTATGCCATGAAGCAAGGGCTACACAATACTGTGGAGAGATGAGGTCCATGTGAAGTAACAATACCTGCAAACCAGTGGTTCCCATCCTTTGGTCCTCCAGTTGTTTTGCACTTCAACTCCCAGAAATCCCAGTCCATTCATCCTCCTTGGCCCCATGTTGAAGGCTTTCATGGCCAGAATCACCTGGGTTGTTGTGAGTTTTCCAGGCTGTAAGGCCATGTTCCAGAAGCATTCTCTCTTGATGTTTCACCTGCATCTATGGCAGGCATCCTCAGAGGTTGTGAGGTCTTAAGCTCTGAGGATACTTGCCATAGATGCAGGCGAAATGTCAGGAGAGAATGCTTCTGGAACATGGCCTTACAGCCCAGAAACCTCACAACAATCCAGACAGGAAAGGCAATTCCGCCTGAACATGAGGAAGAACTTCCTAACTGTGGGAGCTGTTCAGCTATGGAACTCTCTCTCTACCTCGGAGTGTGGGGAGGCTCCTTCTTTGAAGGTTTTGAGGCAGAGGCTAGATGTCCATCTGTCGGGGGTGCTTTGAAGGCAGTTCTGGTTCTTGGCAGAATGGGGTTGACTGGATGGCCCACCAGGTCTCTTCCCACTATAATTTTATGATTTCCCCCTTGGGAAAAGGGTTGCTCCCCCATACCTTTGGGCATTTCAGTGGGCAACAAAATCAGTTCTCTCTTTAAAGAAGTGGTTCTCAACTTGTGGGTCCCCAAGTGTTTTGGCCTACAACTCCCAGAAATCCCAGCCAGCTTACCAGCTGTTAGGAACTGTGGGAGTTGAAAACACCTGGAGGACCAAAGACTGGGAAACCCTGCTGTAAACCATCAATTACTTACTTACTTACTTACTTAGGCGATCCCTCGTAGCCCGAGGATGATGGTCCTCCAAGTGTAGTGTCTTGGCGGTGGGTCTGTAGGTGACTGTGGAGCCCTATTCTCCATCCATCAAGAGCCTAAAGAGAAAAAAGTGAGTTACAACCCATTTGTGGGTGGCTTTTGTATGTTTTTCCCACTGGAAAGGCACAGCCCAGATGGTTTAAGAATAAATGCAATGAAGCCCTGCTGTGGGAATCCACCCACTTTGCTTTTCCCTTCCCTGTGTCTTATTTATTTGTTTCTTTATAACATTTATGCCCCGTCCTTCTCAACCTCCAAAGAGAGACTCAGGAAAGCTTCCAACAGGCAAGTATTTGACGCCAATACAATATAATAACATAACATAAAATACAATTAGCATACATTAAAAACAGCTATAAATATACATTAAAACAGTTTGCTGGTTCAAATCATCATCCGTCCATTGCAGTCCACTAAAACCTTATTTTCACCAAGTATTCTGCAAACACTTGATCCCACAGCCAGAATTTGAGTTTCTTCTGGAAGATCAGGAGGGATGAGGCAGATCTTATAAGGGAGGAAGATACACAGCCGAAGGGCCACCACAGAGAAGGCCCTGTCTCTCGTCCCCATCAAACGTAACTGTGATGGTGGTGGGACCAAGAGCAGGGCCTTTCTCAGTGATCCTAAGGTCCTTCATGGTTCGTTGAGGAAGATATATTCGGACAGGTAAACTGGGCCAGAACCGTTTAGACCAGTGGTTCTCAACCTGTGGGTCCCCAGGTGTTTTGGCCTACAACTCCCAGAAATCCCAGTCAGTTTACCAGCTGTTAGGATTTCTGGGAGTTGAAGGCCAAAACATCTGGGGACCCACAGGTTGAGAACTGTCCTAAATGGTTCGGGAGTTGAAGGTCAAAACTTCTGGGGACCCACAGGTTGAGAACCACTGGTTTCGGGCTTATTATTATTATTATTGCCCCTCTTTTTCTCTCCACTGGGAGACTCAAAGCGTGCCTTCAGCTCACTTTCTTTTCTTATTCTGCACATGCCTTGAGATGTAGAAGTAGTCTCGTGTTTTTATTCCCTTTTATATAACCCACACGCACTCACATATGGAGAGATAGATATATAAACTAGCAATAAAATACTACACAATTCCTTCTCAGAAGAGGTTTGAGATCCTGCTTGAACAGCATTTCTCTAGGAGTGGATTATCTTCCACCTAGGAGGTATATATTTTGCCTATTGAGGCGTTCTGCCTCCACCCCCTGGTCCTTGCACATAGCCCATGTTTTCCATTTCCACAGGAGCCCTTCTCCTGGCCAGGCTCAAAGGGGAGGAGGAAGAGGAAGGGAATGGAGGCTCAAGGAGAAAAGGAGGAAGGGGAGGATGGATGGAAAGAAGGGATGGATGGGTGGAAAGAAGAGAAGGAAAGAAGATGAAGGTAGAAGGGAAGGAGGGGGGAGGGAGAGAAAAGGGAAGGAAGATGGAAGAGAGAGAAAGGGAGGGAGGGAGGGGGAGATGGAAGGAAGGAAGGGTGGAAGGAAGAGAAGAAGAAGGGAGGAGAAGGAAGGGAAGAGAAGAGGAAGAAAGGGTGGAAGGAAAAGAAGGATGGGTGGAAGGAAGAGAAGGAAAGAAGAATGGCAGGTAGAAGTAAGGGAGAAAGAGAAGGAAGGGATAGGAAAGGAAGGTGGAAGAGAAGGAAGGAAGAAGATGAAAGGAAGGGAGTATGGAAGGAAGGAAGGGTGGAAGGAAGAGAAGGAAGGATGGATGGAAAGAAAATAAGGAAGAGTGGAAGGAAGAGAAGAAAAGAAGAATTAGCAGGAGGGAGGGAGAGAAGGAAAGGAAGGATGGAAGAGAAGGAAAAGAATATTAAAGGAAGGGAGTATGGTAGAAGGGAAGAGAGGGAGGAAGGAAGATGAGAAGGAAGGATGGAAAGAAGATGAAAGGAAGGGAGGAGGATTGAAGAAAGGAAGGAAGGAAGGATGGATGGAAAGAAGAGTGGAAGGAAGAGGAAAGAAGAAGAGGAGAAGAAGGAGGGAAGGAGGAAGGAAGAGAAGAGAAAGAAAGGAAGGGAGGGAGAAAGAAGGAAGGAGGAAGAGGGAGGGAGTATGGATGGATGGAAGGATGGAAGGAAGGGAAGATGAAGGAAAGAAGGGACGGATCTTTCCTCTGATGTGTTTTATAACCACACATACTCCTCCCCTCCCTAGATATTGCTATCATATTGTGAGTTTTCATCTTGAACATTACCCCCCCCCCCCTGTTCCCCAGCTCTGTCTTGTCCCCACTGCCTGCTCCACTGAGGAGGGAGGGGGATGTTTTGCCTCTTGGTGGGTTCTCCCTCCAGGCCCAGCTTCTTGCTCATGGTCCAGGCTTTCCTTTCCCATTGGAGGCTTACAAGCCCTTCTCCTGGCCAGGCTCAAAGGGGAGGGAGGCTGGTACCCAGGAGGAGGAGGCCCAGGAAGGGAAGATGGCAGGAAGGGGAGGAAGAGAAGGAAGGAAGGAAGGAAGGGGGGAACAATAAAGAAAGAAGGAAAGGAAGAAAGAGAAGGATGGAAGGAGGAAGGGAACCCCCCCCCCTCCGGGCCAGGTTAAGTCTTCTAACAGGGGGGTCTCTTTCCCCTCCCCAAAACTCACCAAGGAGGAGGAGGAGGGAGGAAGAGCAGCGCCTGCTTCTTCTTCAGCCTGGGACTCTGCTGCTGCTGCTGGGGGCGGGGTCTCTCCTCCAGGCCACGCCCCCTTCTGGGAGGGAGGGGGTCCCTGGGAGGGAGGCCTGGCTTGCCCCCTTTGGGCCCTGGGCTCTCCTTCCCTGCTACAGATCTAGGGTCAGGGGCTCACCAGCACTCCAGATGCACAAGCTTAGGAGACCCCTCATCGACACAATGTAGCTATGCAAGGAGGAAGCCTTAACTTGGACTCTTACTACCAAGGCTTCCCGCCATAGCCATAGCAATAGCAACAAACATGCACACAATGGGGCTGCAGAGCTTTCTGGCAGTAAACTGAATATAGAATCATAGAATCAAAGAGTTGGAAGAGACCTCCTGGGCCATCCAGTCCAACCCCATTCTGCCAAGAAGCAGGAATATTGTATTGTCGAAGGCTTTCATGGCTGGAATCACTAGGTTCTTGTGGGTTTTTTCGGGCTATAGAGCCATGTTCTAGAGGCATTTCTCCTGACGTTTCGCCAGCCATACAAACAATCTACAAACCCACCAAGAAAATCCAACCAATGCTACGGTCAGCAAAGGACAAGAGGGAGTCTACAGGAGTCTACCGTATACCATGCAGCTGTGGACAAGTCTACATAGGGACCACCACACGCAGCGCCCAGACACGCATCAAGGAACATGAAAGGCACTGCAGACTACTTCAACCAGAGAAGTCAGCCATAGCAGAGCACCTGATGAACCAGCCTGGACACAGCATATTATTTGAGAACACAGAAATGCTGGACCACTCCAACAACCACCATGTCAGACTACACAGAGAAGCCATTGAAATCCACAAGCATGTGGACAATTTCAACAGAAAGGAAGAGACCATGAAAATGAACAAAATCTGGCTACCAGTATTAAAAACTCTAAAATTACAACAGCAAAACAACAGAGAGAAACAACCAGGCACATTAACACCTCCCAGAAAAACCCAGAACCTCAGGCCATCAAATGCTAATGAAGGTGATCAGCTGAAACATTCACACCTACTGCAGCAGGGAAGAGCTCCTTTGCCCCACCTCCACAGATATATAAACCCATTTCCTATTCCAACAGACCTCACTACCTCTGAGGATGCTTGTCATTATTGCAGGCGAAACGTCAGGAGAAATGCCTCTAGAACATGGCTCTATAGCCCGAAAAAACCACACAAACAGCAGGAATATTGCATTCAAATCACCCCTGACAGATGGCCATCCAGCCTCTGTTTAAAAGCCTCCAAAGGAGGAGCCTCCACCACCGTGGCAGAGAGTTCCACTGCTGAACGGCTCTCACAGTCAGGAAGTTCTTCCTCATGTTCAGATGGAATCTCCTCTCTTGTAGTTTGAAGCCATTGTTCGCGTCCTAGTCTCCAAGGAAGCAAAAAACAAGCTTGCTCCCTCCTCCCTGTGGCTTCCTCTCACATATTTATACATGGCTATCATATCTCCTCTCAGCCTTCTCTTCTTCAGGCTAAACATGCCCAGCTCCTTAAGCCGCTCCTCATAGGGCTTGTTCTCCAGACCTGTGGTCATTTTAGTCGCCCTCCTCTGGACACATTCCATCTTGTCAATATCTCTCTTGAATTGTGGTGCCCAGAACTGGACACAATATTCCAGGTGTGGTCTAACCAATGCAGAATAGAACATGGGGAGCATGGCTTCCCTGATCTAGACACTATGCTCCTATTGATGCAGGCCAAAATCCCATTGGCTTTTTTTGCCGCCACATCACATTGTTGGCTCATGTTTAACTTGTTGTCCACGAGGACTCCAAGATCTTTTTCACACATACTGCTCTCAAGCCAGGCATTGTCCCCCATTCTGTATCTTTGCATTATACATTCTCATTGGTTCCCAGAGACAAATCAGGAACACCTAATCACCTCTCAACAAAAGATTCTCCCAGGCAGTAAGAAGCCAGACCTTGAAACTGCTGGGCCACTAAATGCTAATTTCCCTGGGGAGGGAGTTCCAGAGACAAGGGGCCACCACCGAGAATGCCCTTTCTCTCGTCCCCACCAGCCGCACCTGAGACGGGGGTGGGAGCGAGAGAAGAGCATCCCCGGAAGATCTTAAGGACCGTGTGGGCTCATAGGGGGGGAGGATGCGGTCTTGAAGATAGGCAGGCCCTGAACCGTTTAGAGCTTTAGAGGTGATAACCTGCACCTTAAATTGGGACCGGAAACTTATCGGCAGCAGGAGAAAGAAGAGAGAGAGGAGCCCCTCACAAAACAGTCCTATTGCCAGGAGAGAGAAGGAGGGAAGGGGAAAGGGAGCCCATGTCTCTGTCCCCATGAGGCATCCTTCCAGGTCCTACCTGGTTCAGAGGCCAAGCAGTGCCAGTCCTGGATGAAGATGGATGGGAGGCCAGCACTGCGTCCCAGGGCGGGAGGGAGGTCATTGTGCAAAAGAAGGAAGGAAGGAGCTGCAAAGCCATCACTGGGTAACTTGGAGGGCAAGCGTCATGCACACTGTAGGCCATTTGGGATGCGACACACAATGGCTGTCAAGAGGAAGAAGGCAGAAGAACAGGCTTTGCTTGGTGGTCCCCCACCTTCAGAGGCCCATCACAGAAGAGGAGGCAGGGGGGAGCTCTGTATGGGGGGCTGGGCTCTTGGGGGAACTAGGGGGCTGCATATGTGCTCCAGGTTGGCTTAGACTCCAAGGGCTTGCTTGTTAGATGATGTGTTTACTCTTAAGGCTTAGTGTGCTGATGCCTCTGCTTGAGGCCAGTTTTAACAACATCCATCTCTGAAAGTCACAGAGAAGGAGGATATGTCTTGAGGAGAAGGACCAAAGTTCTGGAGATGTTCCTGCTTGGTATCATCAGTCGGAGAAGCCGTTGCAGTTAAGGCAGGGTGTGTGGGGTGTTTGGGTCCTTGCCCAAACACCTGGCAAGCTCCATCTGCAGAAGTCCAAACAGCTTGCTTCAATGGAAGGGAAAATCCAAGACCAGGAGGCTTGACGCTCTACACTTAAGGACATTGGAGAGCCTGAGTTCTCCTTGGACACCGTGTCATTAATTTCTTTTGAGTCTCAAAATGCTCTTTCATCATTTTCAGTGGGGCAGAGTGCAGGAGGCAATTCCAGAGAAAGGGGTAGCCACACAGGCACCAGTACAGGTTTTATGGCGCGTTTGGTGGGGACGCGAGACAGGGCCTTTTCTGTGGTGGCCCCCCGACTCTGGAACACCCTCCCCAAAGATCTTAGACAGGCCCCTACATTGGCAGTCTTTAGAAAGAACTTGAAGACCTGGCTGTTCCGATGTGCCTTTCCAGAATAGGAATCTCCAATAACAAGTCCCAGAAGCACTTTATTAGAACTGAGATTGCTGCACACTGCACACTGCACTTACCCTAGAATCCGTACATATCACCTTTCACATCAGCACTTTTAACCCTGTACCCATTACTCTGGCCCGGCCCAGTTTTATAGTGTCTTGATGTATTGTTTATTGTGATATTGCTTTAACTGTTTTTAATTTGCTTTGGTGTTGTATTGTTGTGTTGTGTGTTGAGGCCTTGGCCTTTGTAAGCCACATCGAGTCCTTCGGGAGATGCTAGCAGGGTACAAATAAAGTTTAATAATTAATAATAATAATAATAATAATAATAATGGTTACACAATTTATTATTTATTTATTTCAAAGTTTTATATACCGAGCTTCTCACCTCATAAGAGGGACTCAGCCCGGTTTCCAACCATAAAAACACATACAATCGGTAAATATCAAAATACACATTACAATAAAACATTTAAAAAAGCACATATATTTAAAACTACAGTGGTCAGTCGTCATACTAAAATCGAATATCGAATATACACCGTCTTCCATCCAGATCGTTGTCTCATTCTTCAAAAGCCTGTCTCCATAACCATGACTTCACCTGTTTCCTGAATGTCAGGATTGTTGGAGCGGTTCTGACCTCTGGTGGGAGAGAGTTCCAGAGTCGCGGGGCCACCACCGAGAAGGCCCTGTCCCTCGTCCCCACCAGCCGTGCTTGTGAGGCCGGTGGGACCGAGAGCAGGGCCCCTCCAGACGATCTTAGTAATCTTGATGGTTCGTAGGGGAGAATACGTTCGGAGAGGTAAACACAAAGAGAAGAGAAACATCCTATTTACTCAAACATTCACTCACCATCCAATCTGACATACATTCAGTAAGGAAGAGGGTCTCCATATGTGGGGATGTAGTCATCCATCATTTCCTTGTTTTGATGAGCAATATGAAGTGGACAAGGCAATAGGGGAATGCAACCCAAAATGGGCAATGAGGGATGGTGAGTATGTATGTTGAATGTATGGGTTGTGAGGCAGGGTTGTAAGTCTCTCAGCAAAAACATTCCAGGGGCTGAGAGTATGTGACTTGCCCAGAGACACCCAGTAAGTGTCTAATTTTCCACCGTGGTAGTCTAATGGCCAAACCACTACAACACATTGGCTCCTTACCTAGGTTTTAATGGACATTTGTTGTCCATTAAAATTCCGATACGTCATTTAGTGCCTTTATTTGATTCAGTTTTATGGTGACACCATCAAACATGCATTTTAGTCTTTCCACATTTGTGAAAATGCATTGTACTTGGAATCTGATGTATTTAATGTCATGTAAGCCTGCATCCCAGCTGAGGGAAGAGTAGATACAGAAGAAGGGAACACACGTATTTTTTCCTTAGCAGATATCGTGGAATCACTCAGGGGCCAAATGGAGAACAAAAGAGCCAAAAGATAAAGGAAAGGAATTCTATGGGAAGGTAAGATAAATGAGCTATAAAACATTAAGGAGCAAGATATACCCTGGACACCGAGGGAGACACCATGGTCACCATGGCACCCTCGGATACTTCATAGTCAAATGTGTGGGAAACTTAGAAGTTTCCCACACATTATACAAATATTGATTAGTGAACAAGAACTAGATGTATTGTCGAAGGCTTTCATGGCTGGAATCACTGGGTTGTTCTAGGTTTTTTGGGCTATATGAGGATGCTTGCCATAGATGCAGACGAAACGTAAGAAGAGAATGCTTCTAGAACAGTGGTTCTCCATCTGTGGGTTCCCAGGTGTTTTGGCCTACAACTCCCAGAAATCCTAGCCAGTTTACCAACTGTTAGGATTTCTGGGAGTTGAAGGCCAAAACATCTGGGGACCCACAGGTTGAGAACCACTGTTCTAGAAGCATTCTCTTCTTACGTTTCGTCTGCATCTATGGCAAGCATTCTCAAGAGGTTGTGACCTCACAACCTCTGAGGATGCTTGCCATAGATGCAGGTGAAACATCATAGAATCATAGAATCAAAGAGTTGGAAGAGACCTCATGGGCCATCCAGTCCAACCCCCTGCCAAGAAGCAGGAATATTGCATTCAAATCACCCCTGACAGATGGCCATCCAGCCTCTGCTTAAAAGCTTCCAAAGAAGGAGAGAATGCTTCAGGAGAGAATGCTTCTAGAACATGGCCATATAGCCCGAAAAACCTACAACAACCCAACTAGATGTATGTTGGAGAAAGGAAAGTAAAGCAGCAAGGGGATTAATGTTGGTTTTTGGGCACCCACAATTTGAAAAGGTATTCAGAATATGAGGGGCATCAAAGCAGATACAGTCCAGTGGTTCTCAACTTGTGGGTCTCCAGATGTCTGGTAAACTGGCTGGGAATTCTGGGAGTTGTAGACCAAAGCACCTGGGGATCACAGGTTGAGAACCACTGAGATACACCATTAGATGTTCAGGACTTCTCAAGATTCACTGTGAAGTCTAAGTTTCTTCTGTCAATAGACTATTTGCTGAAGCTAGAGCATATTTCCATGCTGGAGAAAAGGTATGTTCACAGCATACACTAATTTCATGCCCTGAAGACCTGTATCCACTTTGTGGTTCTTTCCATATTCACAGCATTAATATGGCTTCATCTCTACCTGAAGGCAAAGGTAAGTGAAATCCCAAGGTGAGGAAACCTTCTTCCATCCGCCAAGCATTTCTACAAGGGGAGGGGAACACAGCCCTTGCTGCAGGTGAAGCTTAAATAGCCAGGGAGGCCAAAACTCCCCCCTATCTCTACAGCCTTCTTAACCGTATTGAACTGGGGGGCTTTCTTTCCAGAAGATTAAACTCAAGGGTAGGAAACATTTGGCTCATGGCTTGCATGTTGTCCTTGATGGCCAGGAAGCCTCCATGTCAAGTTTTTAAAATGTCCTTTTCAGGATTATTTTTTTTTTGCCCCCAAACCAGCCAAGGAACCCCAAACAACCTGAAGCTGTGGAAGTGTGAGTCCCCTAACTGGCAGAGCAACCCAGTTCTTCTACAAAAACTTAATAGGCTTCATAGGCCAGTTAGGACAAATTGGTTTAGGCCCAGCAAGTCTGAAGATTTTGCCATGCTGCTGGATCAGGGATGGAGGTTTTGCCTATTGAATGACAGAGGATGCCTATTTATCTGACTGAATCTGTAATATGTCTCCACAAACATAATATTCTGTGTCTTATAAGTTGTTTCAGCTGTATACGGTTGTCTTGGCAGGATTTGTCCACCTTGGCATTCGTAATGACAGAATAAAACCTGCTCACAGCCAAGTGGTGGGCTTCCAGAGTCAATTAGGGCTTCAAGCTCTGGTTTCCCATGCTCAAATCATTACACCAGGAGGCCATAAAATAGCTTTATTACACTATAAAAGAGATAGAAGAAGCTGAGAAAATTTCAGTGGACATTCTAAAACAAGCATAAAAGAGAAGAACTTACATCTAAAAAGGAGGGAAAATATTTATTTATTTATTTACGATATTTCTATCCCGCCTTTCTCAAGCCCGAAGGCGACTCAAAATCATGTGGATACCACATCATATTAGCTGGTGAGGCATCAACAATTCCACAAGGCCAGTACTATTCCTTAAAGTGTGCCAAAAAAAGATCCAAGATACCTTGAATAAACTGTTCTACACTGAACAAGAGGGAATAAATACAAAGACCAGAACGGTCTTCTGTCCAAATGTGTTTTCTTCATCGTGTGACTATTTTGAAGACTGAACTCTCCCCACACTCTTGGCATGCGCATGCTTTCTGTCCTGGTGACTTTTGAGACCTGATTTGAACATAAAACTCTTTCCACATTCCAGGCATTGATAGGGGTTCTCTCCTCTGTGGTGCCTTTCATGCCCCGTGAGATATTTCCTCTGAGAAAAGGCTTTCCCACACTCCAGGCATTTATATGGCTTCTCTCCTGTGTGGGTTTTGAGGTGGTACCTGAAGCTTTCTATCCAACTGAAACTTTTCCCACATTCCAGGCACGTGTGTGGCTTTTCTTCTACGTGAGTGTTCTGGTGATTTTTGAGGACCGATTCACAGTTAAAGCTCTTCCCACATTTTAGGCAACGATAGGGTTTCTCTCCTCGGTGATTCATCTCATGCAGGAAGAGACCTCTCTTGTGGATGAAGCCCTTGCCACACTCCAGGCACTTATAGGGTGCCTCTCCCCTGTGGTTCATTACATGCCCAATGAAACTGATCTTGTCAATATAGCCCTTTCCACACTCCAGGCATTTATACGGCTTTTCTCCAGTGTGAATTTTTTCGTGTCTACTTAGGGCTTCTTTTCGATTAAAGCATTTCCCACACTCTGGGCATTTATACGGTTTCTCTCCTGTGTGAATTTTTTCATGCGAGCTTAGGGCTCCTTTTTGATTAAAGCATTTCCCACACTCCAGGCATTTATACGGCTTTTCTCCGGTGTGTATTTTTTGGTGTGATCTTAGGGCTCCTTTTTGATGAAAGCATTTCTCACACTCTAGGCATTGGTATGGCTTCTCTCCTGCGTGAATTTTTTCGTGTCTGCTTAGAGCTCCTTTTTGATGAAAGCATTTCTCACACTCCAGGCATTTATATGGCTTCTCTCTCGTGTGAGTTTTTTCATGTATGCTTAGGGCTTCTTTCTCACAGAAGCATTTCCCACACTCCAGGCATTTATAGGGCGTCTCTCCTCTGTGATTCATTTCATGTCCAATAAGCCTTCTCTTTTCCGTAAATCCTTTTCCACACTCCAGGCATTTATATGGATTTTCTCCCAAGTGGGATTTTCGGTGTCTTCTCAGGCTTCCTTTATGATGGAAACAGTTCCCACACTCCAGGCATTTATATGGCTTCTCTCCAGTGTGAATTTTTTCGTGTCTGCTTAGAGCTTCTTTCTGACAGAAGCATTTCCCGCACTCCAGGCATTTATAGGGTGTCTCTCCTCTGTGATTCATTTCATGTCCAATAAGACTTCTCTTTTCAGTAAACCCTTTCCCACACTCCAGGCATTTATAAGGTTTCTCTCCCAAGTGGGATTTTCGGTGTCTTCTCAGGCTTCCTTTACAATGAAAACATTTTCCACACTCTAGGCATTTATGCGGTTTCTCTCCCGTGTGGGTTTTTTGGTGTGTGTTGAAGACTCCTTCATGATGGAAACATTTTCCACACTCCGGGCATATATATGGCACGTCCATAATTTGTGATTTCTCATAATTTGTAAGGTGTATACTAGATTCAAAACTTTCTTCAAATTGCTGGTATTTATCTTGTTCTTCCTCTGTAATGTTTGTGATATCATCATTCAGGCATGATGACTTATGGAAGAAGCCATTCTCAAAGACAAAGCTGTTTTCGTCGATAGATTCTTGGATTGTGATTTCCCTGGTGTCAGCAGAGCACTGGTTCTTTGTATATTTTTCAACTTCCATTTCCAGGTTTCCTTCTTCCCCCTCTTTATATCTTGATGTTTTCAACCACACTTTACATGGTGCTCCCCCACTTTTGCTCTCTTTTCCAGCATCATCTTGAAGAAAAAAGAGAACAAGAAAACAGAAACATTAAATCAGTCAACTAGCTAGCAGCCCAAACCATCCTAACAGGTCCGTAGCCAGGATTTCGATTGGGGGGGGGGGTGAGTTTTTTTCGGGGGGGTTGGGGGGGCTGAGTTTCGGGGGGGGGGCTGAGTCTGAGTGAAAGAGGGTCTACCCTAGCAAACCTTTTGTATCATTACCCCAATATCCCCATGCATATGGGATATATTGAGTATGGTGATCAGATCATGATATGAATAAACATAACAGTTTAAATAATGCACCAGTAAGGCCTTTTCGCGAACCACCATGAGAATTTGGGGGGGGGGCTGAAGCCCCTCAAGCCCCCCCCCCCCCCCCCCCCGGCTACATGCCTGCATCCTAATCTCAGTCTCCTTATGCATACTCCCTTCAAAAATAAATGTAACTGATACTTTTCTCATCATGTAACAACACTTTCAATTTTCCAATTCAATGGCCCTGTTGTTAAATGTTAAACAACACCAGAGCAACTGGATTATGATACAAAACTGTTTTGCATAAAAATGTCATGTTTCTTAATTTAAGTTATAGATTTAGACATCAAAAACGTTTTAGTTCTGGATAATTTCTCCTTGTTGAAATTCTCAGAAATATTAAAAATTAACTAGGTATTTTTAATTACAAAAGTGTGAGTCAAGCACTGAAACAGTTAAATGAATGCAACGATTCAGCAAAAGCTGCAGTTCAGTATAAGCAGCAGGTGTGCCTGTTGCATAGCAATGCCTCAGTCTGAGAGAAGCCTGTGTGAGAGAAAGCCTCAGTGGGAGAATAGGTTTCAGTGTTATTAGGCCTCACAGTGTGAGGTAAGCCTCGTTCTTGTAAATAGTGCAACTATATTATTTTACTACAAAGAAAAGCCTCTTTCTTAAGGAAGAGATAACATTGGTCTGTGCGTTTTTGTTCTTTTTAAGCCAACTTGAGTCCTCCTTCGGGGGGGTAGAGAGACAGAAGGATAGTCAATTTTATTGGGGGGGGGGGATACTTGAAGGAGGAAAACAGTTCCCGCCCCCACCCTGCCCCCCCACCCCAGTTTTCATTAGTTATTCCCCTTCCCCACTTCCCATTTCATAAACAAGGGTTGTTTCCATGACTGGGGCATGGGTGGGGAGAATAACAAAAACAGGAGGAAATGGTTTTCCTCCTTCAACCCACCCTTCAACTCCATAAATGGACTATACTTCTCTCTCTAATCATAGAATCATAGAATCAAAGAGTTGGAAGAGACCTCATGGGCGATCCAGTCCAACCCCATTCTGCCAAGAAGCAGGAATATTGCATTCAATCGCCCCTGACAGATGGCCATCCAGCCTCTGTTTAAAAGCTTCCAAAGAAGGAGCCTCCACCACACTCCGGGGCAGAGAGTTCCACTGCTGAACGGCTCTCACAGTCAGGAAGTTCTTCCTAATATTCAGGTGGAATCTCCTTTTCTGTAGTCTGAAGCCATTGTTCTGCGTCCTAGTCTCCAGGGTAGCAGAAAACAAGCTTGCTCCCTCCTCCCTGTGGCTTCCTCTCACATATTTATACATGGCTATCATATCTCCTCTCAGCCTTCTCTTCTTCAGGCTAAACATGCCCAGCTCCTTAAGCCGCTCCTCATAGGGCTTGTTCTCCAGACCCTTGATCATTTTAGTCGCCCTCCTCTGGACACATTGTGGTCTCTGCCCAGATAATGGAACAGTACCAAAGTGAAAATTTATTTCAGGGAGTGATCATTTGATACAACATGGAGGAAAAACATGAGAAAGACTGTATGATTAAATGGCCTCAAAATATAGATACACAAATTCATCTGGAACCATGGAAAAATGTTTGGATGAAGAATCATGATCCTAAGCTACCTGGAAACAGGTGGCATTTCCGAAACTGATTTCTAAGGACCAAGATTTCAGAGGAATCCTTACCGAAAGAGGCCAACATCTTATAATTCTCTCCCATGACCTCCCAGTGCAGGGTCCGTTGATCTGGATCCAGCAGGACCCACTCTTCCTCACTGAAAAGTACAGACACATCCTCAAAAGTCACCTGAAAGAGGAGGATTAGGATAACCAGATCAGCAATGCCTTTTTCAGTACTAGGCGGAATCTGATGTAAATCAAAGCCATCTAATAGAAGTCAGAATTCAGCGTTTGAAGAGAGGGTTTGGGATTTTTGGAGTAGAATTCCCAGCATTCCTAAGCAGAACATTTAAATATTATTAAAATAAAAAGCACAATGGACACAAATTACTCTTTTTCTGTTGTTTTTCCTATTTTCATCCCTGTTGGGGAATTAAGAAAGTTTACAGCCGATTAAAACAGCTCTAGTTAACATTCACAAATCCAGTAGTTAAAAAAAGAGCTATCAAATAAATCAATCAATAAATAATAAAACTGATCGTGCCATTACTGCTCAAGCAGGGAGCTTTGAGACTGTAGAACAGAAGCTCTCCGAAGCTCTAGGTGCTCTTACTGCCTATTACAGGGAAAACCAGCTGATCCCTAACCCATCTAAAACACAGACATGTGCCTTTCATCTCAAGAACAGAGAAGCATCCCGAGCTCTGAGGATCACCTGGGAAGGAATCCCACTGGAGCATTGCAACACACCCAAATACCTGGGAGTCACTCTGGACCGTACCCTGACCTACAAGAAGCACTGCCTGAACATCAAGCAAAAAGTGGGTGCTAGAAACAATATCATACGAAAGCTGACTGGCACAACCTGGGGATCACAACCAGACACAGTGAAGACATCTGCCCTTGCGCTATGCTACTCTGCTGCTGCATGCCCAGTGTGGAACACATCTCACCACACTAAAACAGTGGATGTGGCTCTTAATGAGACATGCCGCATTATCACGGGGTGTCTGCGCCCTACACCACTGGAGAAATTACACTATTTAGCCGGTATTGCACCACCTGACATCCGCCGGGAAGTAGCAGCCAATAGTGAAAGGACCAAGGCAGAGACATCTCCAGCTCATCCCCTGTTTGGGTATCAGCCAGCACGTCAACGACTTAAATCAAGAAATAGTTTTCTAAGATCTACAGAGACACTCGCTGGAACACCTCAGCAAGCGAGAGTCCAAAAGTGGCAGGCTCAAACCCAGAACCTCAATCAGTGGCTGATACCAAATGAGAGACTCCCCCCTGGGCACACAGAAAACTGGGCGACTTGGAAGGCGCTGAACAGACTGCGCTCTGGCACCACGAGATGCAGAGCCAATCTTAAGAAATGGGGCTACAAAGTGGTATCCACGACATGCAAGTGTGGAGAAGAGCAAACCACTGACCACCTGCTGCAATGCACCTGAGCCCTGCCACATGCACAATGGAGGACCTTCTTGCAGCAACACCAGAGGCACTCCAAGTGGGCAGATACTGGTCAAAGGACATTTAATCAACTACCAAGCTTGCAAACTCTGTTTTGTCTGTTTGTTAAAAATTTGTTAAAATGTAATACAATTATCTGGTTGATACTGACACGATAAATAAACCAAATAAACTCTGCTACTCCGATTAGGTTGTGATCCTAACAGTTCGTGATCTATATCCCAATGGTCAATGATCCTAACAGGTCATGATCCATTATCCCCAATAAAGATCTCTTAAAAGGAAACTTGAGCAGAATTGGAAAACAAACCAATGAAATAACCTTTCCTGACACATGATGCGTTCCTGGACAATTCCACAATTATCTCTACTTCATTTCTACTTCCATCCTTTTACCTGATCTTGTTCTACTGAGGCCATTTCACCTGCTTCAGAAAGAGATGAGCTATTGCGGCTTCCCAGCATCCTTGGCTCCTCCCCTGCGAAATGCCAAAGAAAGAGCAGCATAAGTGTTCATTCAGTGCAGTCAGTTTCATACAATACCAACTTGGATGTATATATTCTTCAAACTATTCTTAAAAACATTGAAACAATCCAGCTACTGAAGACAGTAGTCTTACTGGGGACATAATAATAATAATAATAATAATAATAATAATAATAATAATAATATGTGTGGTTTTCTGGCATTGTATATTTCTGCCGCTTCTGTGATGGTTCATTTGTATTTTGATTCTGTAGCCCACTTGTCGATGGATGTCCAGAATCAGCAGCATCCACCACGGTCCTTTTTATCCTGGGCATTGACCGAGCCAGTATAGACTTGTTTTGGTTTGCTTCTCCATAGTGCTAATGGGTTAGGTGCTCTTGGTTCCACTCCTCAGCTGAGACCTCTCTGGCTTGGTTGGACCTGCTGGTAGTTACACTACTGCCAGCACAGCTCTTAGCATCCTTGGAGTAGTTAAGCCCCCCACCACAACAAGGTGGCACCCATCGGGGGGTTTTGGAACACAATACACCAGACATCACGATTGTGGAAAAGAAAAAAGTTTGGATTATTGATGTCGCCATTACAGGTGACAGTCACATTGAGGAAAAACAACAGGAAAAACCCAACCACTATCAAGATCTCAAAATCAAACTTCAAAGACTCTGGCATAAACCAGTACAGGTGGTCCCAGTGGTGATTGGCACAATGGGTGCCGTGCCAACAGACCTCAGCTGGCATTTGGAAACAATAAACATTGACAAAATCACAATCTGTCAACTGCAAAAGGCCACCTGACTTGGATCTGCACACATCATTCGAAAATACATCACACAGTCCTAGACGCTTGGGAAGTGTCCGACTTGCGATTTTGTGATACGAAATCCAGCATATAGATCTCGTTTGCTGTGATATACTGTGTATAATAATAATAAAATATATTTCTTGCTACCTTTCCTCATGACTCAAGGCAGGTTACAACATTGTAAAACACACATTCACCTAAAAACATTCTTTAAAATAAACATTAAAACATATTTCCACAAGATACATATTAAAATTCATAAAACAGATTGAACGTAAGATGAAGGTTTGTCATTAAAACTGTCTGGGTAGGGCTGCCAGAAGAGATAGGTCTTCACTTGTGTCTGAAATTGTGACCGTTGATCTAGCTGCTGGAGCTCTTCCTGCAGGTCGTTCCACAGTCTTGGGGCGGCCAATGAAAAGGTCCTCGGAGTGAAGGTCACCAGTTGGGTTCTGGCTGGTGGGAGTAACTGCCCTCCAGAGGACCTGAGTGTTCTGGATGGATTGTACAGAAGAAGGTGATCCTGTAGGTAACCTGGACTCAAACCATGTGGGGCCTTAACAGTCAAAACCGACACTTTGCACTTTGTCGGGAAACTAATTGGGAGCCAGTGAAGTCACTTTAGGATAGGTGTGATATTTTCACTCCTGGATGTTCTTGTAATCAATCTGGCTGCTGTATTTTGAACCAGCTGGAGTTTCTGATCTTGGTACAAAGGTAGCCCAATGTAAAGCGCATTGCAGAAGTCAAACCTTGAGGTTACTAGCACATGCACTACCATCTTTAGGTACTCAAACCTAGGAAGGGGCGCAACTGGCATATCAGCCAAAACTGATAGTGCTCCCGGCTGCCGCATCTACCTGGGTTGACATTTTGAGAGATGGATCCAGGAACACTCCAAAGCTGCAAACACAGTCTTTCAGGGGGAGTGTAATCCCACCCAGACGCACCTCTACCCCCAGATGAGGACCCTTGATGGCCTCTGACTTGTCTAGATTCAGTTTCAATTTGTTTTTCCTCATCTAGCCCATTGCCTCCTCCAGGCATTCATTCAGAGGAGACACGCTATCCTTAGCAGAAGCAGTTTTTGAAGGCATGGAGAAATATATTTGGGTGTCATCAGCATACTGATAACACCCCACCCCATGTCTACAGATGAACTTTCCCAGCAGCTTCATGTAAATATTAAAGAAGATTGGGGATAGAACGGCACCTTATGGGACACCACGTAACAGCTCTCTTTTTTTGAGGAACAGCTATCCCCAAGTAGCACCATCTGTAAACTGCTTGAGAAGTACGACCGGAACTACTGCAGCACATGGCCTCTGATACCCAGTTCCCTGCCCCCACAGGCATTCCAGAAGGATACCATGGTCAATGGTATCAAAGGCTGTTGAGAGGTCTAGAACCCCCAACAGGGACACAAACCCCTAGTCAGTTTTGAGACAGAGATCATCCACTAAGGCAACCATAGCAATCTCAGCTCCATATTCTGCTCTGAAGCCAATTTGAAATGGGTCAAGGAAGTGTGTCTCAACCAAAACCGCCTGGAGTTGGAGGGCAATTGCCTTCTCAATCACCGTGCCCAAAAAAGGGAGGTTAGACACTGATCTGTAATTATTAAGGTTCAGGGAACTGCATCTCCTTCCTTGACGAAGAGCAAAGAGGGACAGGAATCAAGAGAGCAAGTTGTCTTTCTTACTTGCCCCAGCACCTTGTCCACATCAACAGTAATCACCAATTTAACTGATCCAGTGTAATCCCACTCACAGAGTTGTGGGACACCTCATTGTTGGCCTCTGCTCTATTGATATCATTTAAGTCGGCTCTTATGTGAGGAATTTTGTATAAAGCATCACAGTGAGCTACTGAAGGATCTAACAATGGGTTTTGAGGGAAGGGAACCTGATTTAAGCCTCTTATTACACTGAACAGCTCAGCTGGATGTGAATCTGCAGGCACAATGCGTGCGGAGAAGATTGCTTTCTTTGCTGCACGTATTATAGGAGTGTAGGTGCCCCTTTATACCGTGTCTTGTTGAATAGAAGTTGAGTTTTATGCCATCTGCACTCTAGTCGTTGTGCTTCCCATTTCATTTCTCTGAGAGTCTCTGTATACCAGGGAGCCTGTTTTGTCATGGGTCGAAGTGGACATTTGTAAACAATAGTATCAAAAGCCCTGGTTAGATTTTAGTTCCACTTTTTGACCAGGGATTGAACAATATAGTTGGTGATGCCAGCCATAGAACCGAAGACCATATATTTGGGGGACAAAGCAAAAGAAAGGTTCTTACCCACTGAAGCAATCCCTCTATCCTCCTCCAACTTGATCCACCTGGAAGGGGAGCCCTGGCTGGTGCCTGGTGGGGCCTCCTGGGCCTGAAGGGCTTCTCTCTCCTGCTGCTCTTCCTGCAGCACCTTCTCCTCTTCTGCCTGACTCAGGAGAAAGCCTTCAGCCAAGGCCACGGCCTGGGAACTGGTCTCTGCCCCACATTCCCTCACCCAGCGCTCCATCTCCGCAGGAAGGATGGCCAGGAACTGCTCCAGGATCACCAGGTCCAGCATCTCCACCTTGGAGTGTCGCTCAGGCTTCAGCCACAGGCGGCAGAGAGAGTGGAGGCGGCTGCAAACTTCTCGAGGCCCCAAGATCTCCTCATAGTGGATATGCCGAAAGCGCTGGCACTGAAGGGCTGCGCTGAAGGCCTTCTCACCCAAGGCATGCTGACCCATTCTGCCTGGGAGCCCAACATTTCTCCTGCCCCACATTTCATAGGGCTCTCTTCCCCCTTCAGGGCCAGTCTGGTCTGGCTCCTCCATCTTCACTCTGGGCTCCATCAGGACAGAAGAACTTCTTCCCTTCTCCATCTGAAGATGTCACGAAGCAAAGGCTGCATAGAGAAAGGGGAGGTGAAGGCCAGGTTAATGATCTACTACCGTCAAGAGAAAAGGGGTCTTTCTCACCCGCTACATGGCTTCCCTGAAAGAAAAGCAGAGTCCTGGTGGTTTACAGCAAAGTTCATGAAGTAACACTATGGGAATCCCCTCGCATTGCTCTTCCCTTCCCCTTCCCCTCACTCTCACCTTCAGCCCCACTCCCTGGTTTCCCTGTATATACAGTACTGAAACTGAGAGGAATCCTGCGAGCTGTGGGGTGACACAGTCCTTCGTCTTCTCTGCCAAAAAGTGCTAGTTCTATGGCTGGCATCACCAACTGGTGCCTCACCAACCCGCCCTTTCCCCTCCCAGGATGGCAGACAATTCAGACAATACAGTCCAAGTGGCCCCAAAATGCATTCATTCTATAAGGCAGATGCCTCACATGAGAAAACAGCATTTTTCATTGTTGGGATTCAATCCCACACTGCCCAGGTCTCAAGTCTTGGAAAACAAGTTAAACATGAGCCAACAATGTGATGTGGCGGCAAAAAAAGCCAATGGGATTTTGGCCTGCATCAATAGGAGCATAGTGTCTAGGTCCAAGGAAGTAATGCTACCCCTCTATTCTGCTTTGGTTAGACCACACCTGGAATATTGTGTCCAATTCTGGGCACCACAATTCAAGAGAGATATTGACAAGCTGGAATGTGTCCAGAGGAGGGCGACTAAAATGATCAAGGGTCTGGAGAACAGGCCCTATGAGGAGCGACTTAAGGAGCTGGGCAGGAAAAATGAAATGCAAAAATATAGAATGGGGGATGCCTGGATTAAGAGCAGTACGTGTGAAAAAGATCTTGGAGTCCTCGTGGACAACAAGTTAAACATGAGCCAACAATGTGATGTGGCGGCAAAAAAAGCCAATGGGATTTTGGCCTGCATCAATAGGAGCATAGTGTCTAGATCTAGGGAAGTCATGCTACCCCTCTATTCTGCTTTGGTTAGATCACATCTGGAATATTGTGTCCAATTCTGGGCACCACATTTAAGAGAGATATTGACAAGCTGGAATGTGTCCAGAGGAGAGCGACTAAAATGATCAAGGGTCTGGAGAACAAGCCCTATGAGGAGCGGCTTAAGGAGCTGGGCATGTTTAGCCTGAAGAAGAGAAGGCTGAGAGGAGACATGATAGCCATGTATAAATATGTGAGAGGAAGCCACAGGGAGGAGGGAGCAAGCTTGTTTTCTGCTTCCTTGGAGACTAGGACGCAATGGAACAATGGCTTCAAACTACAAGAGAGGAGATTCCATCTGAACATGAGGAAGAACTTCCTGACTGTGAGAGCCGTTCAGCAGTGGAACTCTCTGCCCGGAGTGTGGTGGAGGCTCCTTCTTTGGAAGCTTTTAAACAGAGGCTGGATGGCCATCTGTCAGGGGTGCTTTGAATGCAATATTCCTGCTTCTTGGGTTGGACTGGATGGCCCATGAGGTCTCTTCCAACTCTTTGATTCTATGATAAGTCATCAATGAGGAGCAGTTAGTTAAGCATAGGCTGAGGGAATTCTCTTCCCTCATGTCTCCTGAATGACAGTTAGGATGCATTTATTTTGTTCTCTGTTTCTGTTCTCATTCTGATTGATTATTTAAAACTGATACTTTGCTACGGCAAGCCTTTTAGAATCTGTCTTCTTACACTTTAGTATAGACTATAGATAAAGAGTATGAAGAGTATGTGCTGTGTGCTTTGAGATCTCTCTCTGCTTGTGTGTCAGAAGAGATGTAGTGACTGCGATGTTCCCTCTCTTGAAACCTTAGAAGAGATGGGAGGTAGAGTAGCTCAGGCCCAGCTCTTGATTATTAAGAAATGCAATTATGTCTTATTATTGTAAATAAACCTTTTGTGACTGTTTTTAGATGGGACTCTGCATCTTTGCTTGCCTAAGCTCTGAAGTCTTTATAGCCACATCACACAGCACTTCACGCTCTGCTCGCTCATGAGCTGAATGCTCAACTTTAGTATCCTGTTTGTTTTTGGATGCTCTGCTTTATTTTAGGGTAGTTTTTAGGGTAGTTCTCCCGAACACTCATTACCAACTCTAAAAAAAAAGGACATCAAAAAGCACCACATTTCCATATAACCTTGCCCCTAATTTGTTCAACTTCAATCCCTCTTCTTGGCTCTAAAATAGTCCAGAGAGCAAATATGTATCACTGCATCTCAGTTGAGGAGGCAAGTATACACTTTCTTGCCTAAGACACAAACTACTTTGGTGTAGTAGTTTGAATATCCGACAACAACATTGGAGACCAGGTTTTGGATCCCAGATTGGCTATTGAAATCCAGATAATGATCTTGGGCAAGTTACAATCTCTTAGCCTTAGAGAAAGACAAAGGCAAGCCCTCTCTGAAGAAATTTTACCAAGAAACCCCATGATAGGGTCTCCATAAGTTGCAAATTATTTAAAGGGGTTGGACTGGATAACCCCTCAGGTTTCTACTATTACTACTACTATTACTAGTACTATAAAGGCTGGAAGGCCAACTGTTAGGGATGCTTTGATTGTGTTTTTCCTGCATGGTTAGACTTTGGAGGTCTGGATGTTCTTCCGGCCTTGGCTCTGCCTGCACCCCTTCCTCCCTACCATGTATTCCTACAGCACCTGCCTCTTCTCCTTCCCATTGGAACCTTTAAACGCCAACCTTAAAAACTGTGGCATAGACACCAGAACTGGGAAGCCCTGGCCCTTGTGCGCTCTAACTGGAGGTCAGCTGTGACCAGCAGTGCTGTAGAATTTGAAGAGGCACGAATGGATGGTGAAAGAGAGAAACATGCCAAGAGGAAGACCGGGACCACATTCCACCTGGAAACCGATGTCCTCACTGTGGGAGAACATGCAGATCAAGAATAGGGCTCCACAGTCACCTACGGACCCACTGACAGGACACCGACCTTGGAGGACAATCTTACTCGGACAACGAGGGATCACCTAAGTAAGTAAAAGTAAGTAAATAAAGGAGCCTTAGGGTCTCAGACTGAAAGGGAAGGAGAGGAGAGGAAGGGAAGGGAGGGTGAATGAGAACCATGAGGAAGGAAGGAAGGAAGGAAGGAAGGAAGGAAGGTAGAGAGATGGGCCGAAACTAACAAAATGAAGTTCAACGGTGACAAATGCAAGATACTCCACTTTGGCAGTAAAAACGAAATGCAAAGATACAAAATGGGGGATGCCTGGCTCGAGAGCAGTACGTGTGAAAAAGATCTTGGAGTCCTCGTGGACAACAAGTTAAACATGAGCCAACAATGTGATGTGGCAGCAAAAAAAGTCAATGGGATTTTGGCCTGAATCAATAGGAGCATAGTGTCTAGATCTAGGGAAGTCATGCTACCCCTCTATTCCGCTTTGGTAGACTATACCTGGAATATTGTGTCCAATTCTGGGCACCGCAATTCAAGAGATATTGACAAGCTGGAATGTGTCCAGAGGAGGGCGACTAAAATGATCAAGGGTCTGGAGAACAAGCCCTATGAGGAGTGGCTTAAGGATCTGGGCATGTTTAGCCTGAAGAAGAGAAGGCTGAGAGGAGATATGATAGCCATGTATCAATATGTGAGAGGAAGCCACAGGGAGGAGGGAGCAAGCTTGTTTTCTGCTTCCTTGGAGACTAGGACCCGGAACAATGGCTTCAAACTACAAGAGAGGAGATTCCATCTGAACACGAGGAAGAACTTCCTGACTGTGAGAGCCGTTCAGCAGTGGAACTCTCTGCCCCGGAGTGTGGTGGAGGCTCCTTCTTTGGAAGCTTTTAAACAGGGGCTGGATGGCCGTCTGTCAGGGGTGATTTGAATGCAATATTCCTGCTTCTTGGCAGGGGGTTGGACTGGATGGCCCATGAGGTCTCTTCCAACTCTTTGATTCTATGAGGAAGGAAGGAAGGAAGGAAGGAAGGAAGGAAGGAAGGAAGGAAGGAAGGAAGGAAGGAGACGGAATGGGCCTCGTTAGGTGGGAGGGTCAGCTGCAGAGTCCACCTCCCTCCTGGACAGCTTCTCCTCTCCTGAGCTTCCTGGGAGTTGTAGTCCGCAGCCCTGCTCCATGTTCCTTGGTGGGCCTTTGTTTCCTCTCCCTCTTCCCTTCTTCCTAGGGGCAGACCACCATTCCCTTCCCTCCAAGCAGGGTAATGAAAAGGGGGGGGGGGTCCTCCTCCATCCCCAAAATCCACCTCTTTCCTCTGATGTGTTCCAACAGCACTGGGCTCCTTCCCCCCTTTTGTCTGTCTGCATCTCTTGCAATGGTATCTTGAGCCTCCCCTCTCCCCCTTTTCCTCCAGCTCTGACCAGGCTCTGGCTCCACCTCGGAGGGAGGGGGGTGTTTTGCCTCTCTGGATGCCCTGCCTCCACCCCCTGCTTCTTGCCCATTGGAGACTTACAAGCCCTTCTCCTGGCCAGGCTCAAAGGGGAGGAGGAACAGAAAGGGAATGGAGGCTGAAGGAGGAAGGAAGAGAAGAAAGGGAGGGATGGAGGAAGCAAGCAAGCTGGAAGGGGCACCTAACGAGCCCTCCTCCCTCCTTGGGTTTTCTAACAGAGGGTCTCCTGTCTCCCCCCCCCCCAGATCTGGGTCCCGCCCCCCCCCCCCAAAAAAAACCCAAAGAAGTGGGGGAAAGAGGCCTCACCGTGTGGCCCTGCCAGGCAAGAGGCGGGGAAGACTAGCTTCTGCTTCTTCTCCCTGCAACTCTTCTCTGCTGGGGGTGGGACCTCTGCTCCCTGGCCACGCCCCTTTCTCATCCCTCTCCCTCCCTCCTTGGGATTTAACTCTTTGGCCCTTCCTGTCCTCTGGCAGGCCTTGCTTCCCCACTTTGGGGCCCTAGAGGGACAAGCAGCCCCTTCATCCTCCTTGGCCCCTCACAAACCCTATGAGGAGCGGCTTAAAGAGCTGAGCATGTTTAGCCTGAAGCAGAGAAGGCTGAGAGGAGACATGATGTCCATGGATAAATATGTGAGGGGAAGCCATAGGGAGGAAGGAGCAAGCTTGGTTTGATCTTGCAGTCCAAGGTACTCTCAGCACTTTCCTTCAGCACCACAGTTCAAAAGCATCTCTCTTCATTTGCTCAGCCTTCCTTATGGTCCAGCTCTCACATCCGTAGGTTGCTATGGAGAGTACCATTGCTTTAACTATACAGATAGAATCAAAGAGTTGGAAGAGACCTCATTCTTTATTGCCAGTGTGATGTCTCTACCCTTCACTATCTTATCGAAATTGGTCGTTGCTCTCCTCCCAAGAAGGAAGCATCTCCTGATTTCCTGGCCACAGTCTGCATCTGCAGTCATCTTTGCACCTAGAAATATAAAGTCTGTCACGGCCTCCACATTTTCTCCCTCTATTTCCCAGTTGTCAATCATTCTTGTTGCCATAATCTTGGTTTTTTTGATGTTTAGCTGCAACCAGCTTTTGCGCTTTCTTCTTTCACCTTGATTAGAAGGCTCCTCAGCTCCTCCTCACTTTCAGCCATCAAAGTGGTGTCATCTGCATATCTAAGGTTGTTAATGTTTCTTCCAGCAATTTTCACCCCAGCCTTGCATTCCTCAAGCCCCGCACATTGCATGATAGTCATACACAGGGCGGCTCAACCCATTACGCAAAGTAAGCATTTGCAGTATAGTTGATTTTGCCCAGGGGTGCTCTTGAGGCACTCTTGGGGGAAAATAGACCTTGACATATGCAAGTTGTAGTTACTGGGATGTATTGTTCACCTACAATCAAAAAGCGTTCTGAATTCTACCAATGATGGAATTGAACCAAATATGGCACACAGAACTCCCACAACAAACAGAAAATATATATCAGTGATTGGGGGGGGGCGCAAAATACTGTTTGCATACTGTTGAAAATTACCTAGGGCCACCTCTGTCTGCATACAAGTTTAATAGGTTGGGTGTGAGTAGACAACCCTGCCGTACGCCTTTCCCAATCTTGAACCAGTCTGTTGTTCCGTGGTCAGTTCTGACCGTTGCTACTTGGTCCTTCTACAGATTCCTCAGGAGAGAGGGAAGGTGGCTTGGTCTCCTCATATGTCTGGCATGAGAAATAAGGGCCACTGTATAAAAGTTTGAGCATTCTTTAGCATTTCCCTTTTTTGGTATGGGGATATAAGTGGATTTTTTTCCAATCTGATGGCCATTCTTGCTTTTTCCATATTTATTTATTTATTTATTTATTTATTTCGCATATTTGTATCCTGTCTTCCTCACCCCTGGAGGGGGACTCAGAGCGGCTTCACAACAGGCATTCATTCAATGCCAACAACAGTAATAATTGACAAAAGCAACTAAAACATAACATTCCCAAAACATTGTTTAACTCATGCAGGTCAGTCTATTGTCATTCACACAAATTGGGACTCATTCTAAATTGCTGCCTCTAGTGTTTGAACGCTTGGTTCCATAAGCAGCTTTTGAGTTTCATTCTGAAGGACAGGGGGGGAGGGTCAATCTAATGTCATATTTCCATATTAGCTGACATGTGGCAGCAAGATTTTAAACAGTTCAGCTGGGACCCCGTCGTCTCCTGCTGCCTTGTTGTTAGCAATGCTTCTTAAGGCCCATTCAACCTCACTCCTCAGGATGTCTGGTTCTAATACACTCACCACACCATCAAAACTATCCTCAATATTATTATCCTTCCCATACAGATCTTCTGTTTAGTCTCGCCACCTTCTCTTGATCTTTTCAGCTTCTGTTAGGTCCTTGCCATATTTGTTTTTAATCATGACCATTTTTGCCTACAATTTACCTCTGATGTTTCTAATTTTCTGGAAGAGGTCTCTTGTCCTTCCTATTCTGTTGTCTTCTTCCACTTCCATTCATTGCTTGTTTAAAAATAGTTCCTTACCTTCTGGCTAACCTCTGGAATTGTGCATTTAATTGGGCATATCTCCTCCTATCACTGTTTCCTTCTGCTTTCCTTCTTTCTTGGGCTACTTCCAGTGTCTCAGCAGACAACCATCTTGCCTTCTTGGTTTTCTTTTTCTTTGGAATGTACTTTGTTGCTGCCTCCTGAACAATGTTGCAAACTTCTGTCCCTATAGTTCTGGGATTCTATTCACAAACTTATTGTACAACTAGCTGTCCCCTGCCACACATTGCTGTGGCCCACATGGGGGTTCTGTGTGGGAGGTTTGGCCCAATTCTATCATTGGTGGGGTTCGGAATGCTCTGTGATTGTAGGTGAACTATAAATCCCAGCAACTACAACTCCCAAATGTCAAGATTCTATTTTCCCCAAACTCCACCAGTGTCCACATTTGGGCATATTGAGTATTCGTGTAGAGTTTGGTCCAGATCCATCATTGTTTGAGTCCACAGTGATCTCTGGGTGTAGGTGACTAAAACTCCAAAACCAAAGGACATTTCCCACCAAACCCTTCCAGTATTTTCTGTTGGTCATGAGAGAACTGTGTGTCAAGTTTGGTTCAATTCAATCGTTGGTGGAGTTCAGAATGCTCTTCGATTGTAGGTGAACTATAAGTTCCAGCAACTACAACTCCCAAATGACAAATTTATTTATTTTTTTTGAGTTAAGGACATTGGGTTGTTGGGTTGTTAGGTGTCTTGTGTCCAAAGGATCGGATCCCGGGTTATCTGCTTTGGATTATATGAGTCTCTGCTGTTGGTAATCTGGGATAAACAGATTATCTGGGAAGAGCTCCTGGGGTGTAGGGAAGTGTAGAAGGGGCCAAGATCTGAGCTCCAAAGTGGAGGAAACGCAGGGCATGCAGAGATCCTGCCTGGCCAGCCTATTGTCGCCCTGCCTGGCCCAACTGGTTTCCATGGCTGTGGGTCTTGTGTGAAACAAGGCTGGGCTGTGGGCTCCATTGGGTTGGAGGCGCCTGGGAGGGGCTGTGTGCAGAGAGGCCCCTCCCTCCTTGCCTGCCCTCCTCCCTCCGCCCTGGAAAGGAGTCCGGAAGAGAAGAAGCAGAGCCTACAAAGAGAGGAAGGAAGGGCAGGCGGGCTGCTCTCGCTCGTTGCCTTTGCTGCCTTCTAGGCCATGGGGTGAGTCCTCCTCCCACCTTCCCCTCGCTTTGGGGGAGCCAGATCTGCCCGAGGAGAGGGGTGAGCCCAGGGAAGAAGGGGGAGAAGGGGAGGGGGAACAAAGGCCCACCGGTGCCCATGGGGCAGGGCTGGAGGGGCACCCCCCACTCTCCCTGGCCAGGAGGGAGGCTCAGCCGAAGGACTGCTGGAAGGCCAAAGGGGTTCCCTCCCTAAGCTGCCCAGAAAGGGCTTCTGCAATTGGCCCTCTCTCCCACCTGGCCCCCTTCCTTCCTTCCTTCCTTCCTTCCTTCCTTCCTTCCTTCCTTCCTTCCTTCCTTCCTTCCTTCCTTCCTTCCTTCCTTCTCTCTATCCTCCTTCCCTCCCTTCTCTCCTCCTTCCCTTCCTTCCTTCTCTCCTTCCTTCCTTGCTTCCATCCTTCCTTTCTTCTTTTCTTTCCTTCTCCCTTCCTTCCTTCCTTCTCTTCCTTCCTTGCTTCCATCCTTCTCTCCTTCCTTCCTCCTTCACTTCTCTCCTTCCTTCTCTACTTTCTTCCCTCTCTCATTACTTCCTTCCTGCTCTTTCCTTCTCCTTCCTTCTTTCCTCTCTTCCTTCCTCCCTTTCTTCCTTCTCTCCATTCCTTTCCCTCCCTTTTCTCCTTCTTCCCTTCCTTCCTTGCTTCCATCCTTGCTTTCTTCTTCCTTCTTTCCTTCTCCCCTTCCTTCCTTCCTTCTCTTCCTTCCTTGCTTCCATCCTTCTCTTCTTTCTTCTATCCTTCCTTCCTCCTTCGCTTCTCTTCTTTCTTCCCTCTCTCATTTCTTCTTTCCTTCTCCTTCCTTCTCTCCTCTATTCCTTTCTTCCTTCTTTCTCTCCTTTCTTTCTATCCTCCTTCTCTCCTTCCTTCCTTCCTTCCTTGCTTGCTTCCTTCCTTCCTTCTCTCCTTCCTTCCTTGTCCTCTTTCTTGCTTCCTTCTCTCCTTCCTTCCTTTTTTGATTCCTTCCTTCTTGCTCTTCTCCATTCCCTTCCTCTTCCTCCTTCTCTTTGAGCCTGACCTTCCTCGCAGAAGAAGGAGTGAAAAGACCCCAGTGGAAAGGATCCAATGGGTCCTGTGCAGTTGGGTCAAACTGGAGGAAGAAAGGAATGTAGAGGCATACATAATAAAATATCCATCTCTCTAAAGTGGAGCAAAAGTATAGGCTTTGGGAGGGGTCAGGGCCTGAGATGGGGGTTTGAAGTTGGAGGAAACCGTTTGGGACTCGGGCTTCAAAATAGAAAAAACCCTCAACATTTTGTATCAACATATGTTTTAAAACTATTAATCTCATAACGATATGGTGTAAACATAATGTTTTTAATGAGCAGGGGATGAGGGGCATGTTGGGTTCTGTTAGTCTTGGCTTTTGTATATTCTTTAGGTTTACAGTCTATCCCATGTCTATGTATAAATCTGTGAGAGGAAGTCCTCGGGAGGAGGGAGCAGGCTTGTTTCCTGTTGCCCTGGAGACTAGGACGCAGTGGAACAATGGCTTCAAACGGCAGGAAAGGAGATGCCACCTGAACATGAGGAAGAACTTCCTGACTGGGAACGAGAACTGTTCAGCAGTGGAACTCTTTGCCCAGGAATGTGGTGGAGGCCCCTTCTTAGAATCACAGAATCAAAGAGTTGGAAGACACCTCATGGGCCATCCAGTCCAACCCCCTGGCAAGAAGCAGGAATATTGCATTCAAATCACCCCTGACAGATGGCCATCCAGCCTCTGTTTAAAAGCTTCCAAAGAAGGAGCCTCCACCACACTCCGGGGCAGAGAGTTCCACTGCTGAACGGCTCTCACAGTCAGGAAGTTCTTCCTCATGTTCAGATGGAATCTCCTCTCTTGTAGTTTGAAGCCATTGTTCCGCGTCCTAGTCTCCAGGGAAGCAGAAAACAAGCTTGCTCCCTCCTCCCTGTGGCTTCCTCTCACATATTTATACATGGCTATCATATCTCCTCTCAGCCTTCTCTTCTTCAGGCTAAACATGCCCCGCTCCTTAAGCCGCTCCTCATAGGGCTTGTTCTCCAGACCCTTGATCATTTTAGTCGCCCTCCTCTGGACACATTCCAGCTTGTCAATATCTCTCTTGAATTGTGGTGCCCAGAATTGGACACAATATTCCATGTGGTCTAACCAAAGCAGAATAGAGGTGTAGCATGACTTCCCTAGATCTAGACACTATGCTCCTCTTGATGCAGGCCAAAATCCCATTGGCTTTTTTTGCTGCCGCATCACATTGTTGGCTCATGTTTAACTTGTTGTCCACGAAGACTCCAAGATCTTTTTCACACGTCCTGCTCTCGAATAACATGGTGGAGGCCCCTTCTTTGCAGGCTTTGAAGCAGAGCCTGGATGGCCATCTGTTGGGAGTGCTTTGAATGCAATTTTCCTGCTTCTTGGCAGAACAGGGTTGGACTGGATGGCTCATGAGGTCTCCTCCAACTCTGTGATTCTAGAGTTGGGAGTGACCAATTGGAAGAGGCCATCCAGTACTAACCCCCTGCCATGGAGGAAAAGCACACTCAAATCACCCCTGACAGATGGCCATCCAGCCTCTGTTTAAAAGTTTCCAAAGCAGGGGCCTCCACCACACTCCCAAGGCAGATAATTCCACTACTGAACAGTTCTTACTGTGAGGAAGTTCTTCCTAATGTTTAGTTGGAATCTCCTTCCCTGTAATTTGAGCCCATGGCTCCGAGTCCCGGTCTCCCGGGCAGCAGAAAACAAGCCTGTTCCCTCTTCCTTATGACACCCGTTCAGATATTTAAGCATGGCTACCGAGTCTCCTCCTAACCTTCTCTTCTGCAGGCTAAACATAGCCAGCTTTTTAGGCCACTCCTCATATCTCCTGCACAAGGCATTGAAACAGGGGTGGGAATTAAACCGTTCACTGAATACATTGTACGAATCTCTGGGCATCCATTGAAACATATAACAGTTATTTTAAAAAGGTCTCATTTCCACCCCTTTGCTATATGAGGACTTCTGCTTTTGCTGAGCATGGCACCCAGTACAGATTCTGCAAGTAGAATTCATTCTAACATATATGTATGTAGATATATTTGGTTTTATATGTGTTAAACTTCCTCCAGGAGAACACCCATGACTCTCCTTTTCCCCACTTTGTTGTTGTTCATTCGTTCAGTCGGCTCCGACTCTTTGTGACCTCATGGACCAGCCCACGCCAGAGCTCCCTGTTGGCCGTCACCACCCCCAGCTCCTTCAAGGTCAGTCCAGTCACTTCAAGGATGCCATCCATCCATCTTGCCCTTGGTCGGCCCCTCTTCCTTTTGCCTTCCACTTTCCCCAGCATCATTGTCTTCTCCAGGCTTTGCTGTCTCCTCATGATGTGGCCAAAGGACTTCCACTTTGTCTCTACTCTCCTTCCCTCCAGTGAGCAGCCGGGCTTTATTTCCTGGAGGATGGACTGGTTGGATCTTCTCGCAGTCCAAGGCACTCTCAGCACTTTCCTCCAACACCACAGTTCAAAAGCATCTATCTTCCTTCGCTCAGCCTTCCCTAAGGTCCAGCTCTCACATCCGTAGGTGACTACAGGGAATACCATGGCTTACTAGGTGGATCTTGTTGCCAGTGTGATGTCTCTATTCTTCACTATTTTATCGAGATTGGACATTGCTCTCCTCCCAAGAAGTAAGCGTCTCCTGATTTTCTGGCTGCAGTCTGCATCTGCAGTAATCTTTGCACCTAGAAATACAAAGTCTGTCATGGCCTCCACATTTTCTCCCTCTATTTTCCAGTTGTCAATCATTCTTGTTGCCATAATCCCCACTTTATATGCTCCCTAATACAGCGTTACTCAACCTGGGGGTTGGGACCCCTTATTTTTATTTATTTCGGGTACTTCTACCCCGCCCTTCTCAACCCCCAAGGGGGGACTCAGGGCGGCTTACAGAAAGGCACAATTTGATGCCTGCACAACATACACATAACGTATAAAACCATAGTTAAAACAATTATCACAGTTAAAAACAATCGGTATATAACCCTGTGGGGGTCGCGAGGGGGTGTCAGTGGAGTCACCAAAGACCATCAGAAAATGCTGTATTTTTTGTTGGTCATAGGGATTCTGTTTAGGAAGTTTGGCCCAATTCTATCATTAGGTGAACTATAAATCCAGCAACTACAACTCCCAAATGTCAAGATCTAATTTCTCCAAATTCCACCAGTGTTCCCATTTGGGCATATTGAGTATCCAGGCCAAGTTTGGTCGAGATCTATTATTGTTTGAGTCCACAGTGCTCTGGATGTAGGTGAACTACAACTCCAAAACTCAAGGTAAATGCCCACCAAATCCTTTCAATGTTTTCTGGTGGTCATGGGAGTTCTGTGTGCCAAGTTTGGTTCAATTCCATCGTTGGTGGAGTTTAGAATGCTCTTTGGTTATCGGTGAACTATAAATCCCAACAACTACAACTCCCAAGTGACAAAAGCAACTCTCTCCTCCAAACCCACCAGTATTCCAATTTGGGCGTATCGGGTGTTTGTGCCAAATTTGGTCCAGTGAATGAAAATACATCCTGCATATCCTATATTTACATTACGATTCATAACAGTAGCAAAATTACAGTTATGAAGTAACAACAAAAATAATGTTATGGTTGGGGGTCACCACAACATGAGGAACTGTATTAAGGGGTCACAGCATTAGGAAGGTTGAGAACCACTGCCCTAGTAGGTCATGCTGAGCAATAAACTAACCAGAGATGACCAGGTGGGTTTCTTAACTGTACAGAGACCAGACTCTTGATCTTACGAATCCAAGCCCAGCTCTCCTAAACATTAAACCAGATTGGATTTCAGTATGCACACAGATGTCCAATAACAGATATGTTGGGCGAGTGGGCTTATTAACAAAAGATCCTCCTCATAAATGCTCAGCAGAGCAACTCAGCAGGAGCAGGACCCAGCACCAGCAGTCCAAAGTGATAAAAGAACATAAACACACAGACCTGTTATCTCTTCCATAGGAGGCTTTTCTTTAAAGCAAAACAATATGATTGCACTACTTACAAAACTAGGTTTTCATAACACAAAGTTCTTTACGCTTCCTTCTACTACTTACAAAACTAGGTTTCCATAACACAAATAAAGTTCTTTACGCTTCCTTCTTTGCTTCCACGCTGGGCTTCTTTCTAATGCAGATAAACAGCTTTGCTCTCACAGAGCCTCTTCTTACACCAAAGTTACACAGGAGCTTCACACAGTAGGTTTTCACACACAGCAGCCTTCACACTTGAGTGTCCTCTCACACTGAGACAGGCCCGTAGCCAGGATTTTGATTGGGGGGGGGGGGGGGGGGGCTGAGTCTGAGCGAAAGAGGGTCTACCCTAGCAAACCTTTTGTATCGTTACCCCAATACCCCCATGCATATGGGATATATTGAGCATGGTGATCAGATCATGATATGAATAAACATAACAGTTTAAATAATGTACCAGTAAGGCCTTCTCTGACCTTGAAGGAGCTGGGGGTGGTCACAACCCCCCCCCCCCCCCCGGCTACATGCCTGCACTGAGACATTCTCATACGGAGGCCTACTAACACTTAGGCCCTCTCACACTGAGGGCTCTCTCATACTGAGGCCTACTAACACACTGAGGGTTACCTCACACTGAGGGCTCTCTCATACTGAGGCCTACTAACACCCTGAGCCCTTTTCCCACAGACTTCTCACAGACTGAGGCTACTAAACTACAGACACACACATTGAACTATAGATTGAACTATAGATTTTCTGAGTCATTGCATCCATTTAACCCTTTCAGTGCTTGACTCACATTTCTGTAATTTAAAATATCTAGTTATTTTTTAACATTTCTGACAAGTTAGATGCCATTTAAGGGGGATCTGGTACCTCCCCTGAATAATTTTTAACTATTAGTTTGTGTGTTGACCTTACTCTAAATCAGCCATATCTTGGCCTTTCCTACAATAAGTATCTACGGAAGCCATTCAAAAATGGATTATAAAATCGTTTGTTCTCTGGAGAGTGTTACGTGTATTACAGATCTTGTTAACTAACCTGGACTTAATTTCTCTATTACCTTCTGTAGCCTTTGGTTCATGACATAATACGACGGGTTCTTCATCCGGAATGGAAACTACTTTGGAGTCTAGAGTGAAGATGGAGGAGCCAAACCCACCCAGCTCTGATGGAGAAAAAGAGCCCAATGCAACATGGGATAGGAAAAGTCTTGTTTCCTGCAGGAGAACTGCAGTGCATGTCCTGGACGAAAGAGCGTTGAACTCGGATGTCCAGTGCCAACGTTTCCGCTGCTTCCGCTTCCAGGAGGCCGAGGGCCCTCGCGAAGTTTGCAACCAGCTTCATGCTCTTTGCAGCCAGTGGCTGAAACCAGAGCAACACACCAAGGCGGAGATGCTGGATCTGGTGATCCTGGAGCAGTTCCTGGATGTCCTCCCCCCAGAGATGGAGAGCTGGGTCAGGGAATGTGGGGCGGAGACCACTTCCCAGGCGGTGGCCCTGGCTGAGGGCTTCCTCCTGACTCAGGCAGAGGTGAAGAAGATGAGGCAGGAAAAGCAGCAGGAAACTCATCTCCTTCAGGCCCAGGAGGTCCCACCTGACGTTGGTCAGAGATTCCCTTCCAGGTGGGTCAAGCTGGAAGGGGACAGAAGAGCCGCTCCACTGGGTAAGAGTCCTTCTTTCACTTGGTCCATCACACTCAAGGATTCCCCAAATATATGGTCTTCTGTTATGTCCACCAAAATATTTGCCTTTAATAGCCATTTTGCTAAAATGTCTTAAGCATAGTTTTGAGAATGTAAGCATCTCAGATGGTCTTGTATGAAACTGGCTGCACCTCATGAACGCTTCTGCCACAGATTTTATTTATCGTATCAAGAGCGAACCGAGGATACAGATGTAATATATTTTAAAAGCACAAAGTTTAAAAACTTGGCATTCTACTAAATGTCCTTTGACCTGTGGCTGGCCACTTGGAGTGCCTCTGGTGTTGCTGTAAGAAGGTCCTCCATTTTGCATGTGGCAGGGCTCAGACAACATTGCAGCAGGTGGTCTGTGGTCTGCTCTTCTCCATACTCGCATATCGTGGACTCTACTTTGTAGCCCCATTTCCTAAGGTTGGCTCTGCATCTCGTGGTGCCTGTTCAGCACCTTCCAAGTCGCCCAGTCTTCTGTGTGCCCAGGGGGGAGTCTCTCATTTGGTATCAGCCACTGATTGAGGTTCTGGGTTTTTGCCTGCCACTTTTGGACTCTTGCTTGCTGAGGTGTTAATGCAAGTATCTCTGTAGATCTTAGAAATCTATTCTTTGATTTAAGGCTTTGGCGTGCTGGTTGATATCCAAACAAGGGATGGGCTGGAGATGTCACTGCCTTGGTCCTTTCATTATTGGCTGCTACTTCTTGGTGGATGTCAGGTGGTGCAGTACCGGCTAAACAGTGTAATTTCTCCAATGGTGTAAGATGCAGACATCCTGTGATAATGCGGCATGTCTCATTAAGAGCCACATCCACTGTTTTAGTGTGGTGAGATGTGTTCCACACTGGGTATGCATACTCAGCAGCAGAGTAGCATAGCGCAAGGGCAGATGTCTCCACTGTGTCTGGTTGTGATCCCCAGGTTGTGCCAGTCAGCTTTTGTATGATGCTGTTTCTAGCACCCACCTTTGCTTGATAGGCAGTGCTTGTAAGTCAGAGCCTGGTCCAAGGCAACTCCCAGGTATTTGGGTGTGCCACAATACTCCAGTGGGATTCCTTCCCACGTCATCCTCAGAGCTCGAGATGACAAAACCTTCTTTTGGTTTCTTCTGTTCCTCCTCTTGAGAATCTTCCAGAGTTCCTTTTTGTGTTGTTTAAATTGTAAACCATTTTGGAACTTAAAAACAATATTTCCCTTCTCTTCTTTTCTTTGGTATTTCACAGGAGACGAATTCAGGAAGCTGGAAAGATGTAAGAGCTCATTTCCTTGTGAAGTGGGAGAAATGGCCTCAGTGGAACAGGATCAGGTAAAAGGATGGAAGTAGAAATGAAATGGAGACAATTGTGGGATTGTCCGCAACACCTCATGTGGCCTGAAAGTTTGGTTTGGTTTGTTTGTTTTCTGTTTCTGACCAAGTTTTCTTTTAAGAAATCTCAAGAACATTGTATTGTCAAAGGCTCTCATAGCCAGAATTATTGGGTTGTTGTGAGTTTTCCAGACTGTACGGCCATGTTCCAGAAGCATTCTCTCCTGACGTTTCACCTGCATCTGTGGCAAGCATTCTCAGAGGTTGTGAGGTCTGTTGGAAACTAGGAAAATGGGGTTAAATATCTGTGGAATGTCCAGGGTGGGAGAAAGAACTCTTGTCTGTTGGAGGTAGGTGTGAATGTTGCAATTGACCTTGCAGTTTCAAGGTCAGGCTTCTTACTGCCTGGGGGAATCCTTTGTTGGGTGGTGATTAGCTGGCTCTGATGGTTTCTTGTCTGGAATTCCCCTGTTTTTTAGTGTTGCTCTTTCTTTACTGTCCTGATTTTACAGTTTTTTAATACTGGTAGCCAGATTTTGTTCATTTTCATGATTTCCTCCTTTCTGTTAAAATTGCCCACATGGTTGGGGATTTCAATGTGTGTAGCCTGACCTGTTGGTTGTGAGAGTGGTCCAGCTTTTCTGTGTTCTCAAATAATATGTTGTGTCCAGGTTGGTTCATCCGGTGCAATGCTATGGTTGATTCCTCTGACTGAGTTAGTCTGCAGTGCCTTTCATGCTCCTTGATTCGTGTTTGGTAGTCCCTATGTAGACCTCTTGTCCACAGCTGCATGGTCCATACCTCACAACCTCTGAAGATGCCTGCCATAGATGTGAGTGAAATGTCAGGAGAGAATGCTTCTGGAACATGGCCATACAGCCTGGAAAACTCATAGCAATCCAGTGATTCTGGCCCTGAAAGCCTTTGACAACACATTTTTCATCCTGTTTGTCATGTATTTCTGTTCCATCTGGTTTGTCCTTTCATTTCCCTGGGCAATACTTATGGCAATGAGGAAAAGGAACACAGATCAACAGGGAAAGTGAGGTGACACATGAGGCCAGACAGATCCTCTTTCATCCTCCTCCATTTCCCTTTTACGACCACGGTGAGTTGACCCCCACATCCCACCCATGGACAGCAACAGCATTGCCCCATCTTCCTCATCTGAGATACCCATGTTTGTTTTTTGGTTTTTTTTGGAATTTTTCACAGAAAAATCTCACCTATAACCCTTGCAAAAGTGGAGAGATGACTGTAGAGAGACTGCGCTGTGCTTATAATATAATATAATATAATATAATATAATATAATATATATACATATAATATTGATAATATTATAATGTTATACAATACAATACTACTAATAATTATTATAATTATATATATAAATATATAATTATATATTTTATATCACATATAATATTACTAATAATATTACAATATAATGGTATAGTACAATATAATAATATATAATACTAATATCATAGAATCAAAGAGTTGGAAGAGACCTCTTGGGCCATCCAGTCCAACCCCATTCTACCAAGAAGCAGGAATATTGCATTCAAATCACCCCTGACAGATGGCCATCCAGTCTCTGTTTACAAGCTTTCCAAGAAGGAGCCTCCACCACACTCTGGGGCAGAGAGTTCCACTGCTGAACAGCTCTCACAGTCAGGAAGTTCTTCCTAATGTTCAGATGGAATCTCTTTTCTTGTAGTTTGAAGCCATTGTTCCGCGTCCTAGTCTCCAAGGAAGCAGAAAACAAGCTTGCTCCCTCCTCCCTGTGGCTTCCTCTCAAATATTTATACATGGCTATCATATCTCCTCTCAGCCTTCTCTTTTGAAGGCTAAACATTCCCAGCTCTTTAAGCCACTCCTCATAGGGCTTGTTCTCTAGACTCTTGATCATTTAATTGATGTAATTGATAATATTGTGCTAAGCTAATAATATAATATATTGCATTTACATATTACTTGTAAGCAGCTCTGAGTCCCCTTCAGGGTGAGAAAGGCAGCATATAAATGTCGTAAATAAACAAATAACATGGTTCTTTCCACATTTTTTTTGCAGATTCCGCTTAAGAAAGCTGTGGACGCTCCTACAAAGCACAAATGCCCTCTTTGTATCATGTGTTCCAGCTTGCATGGAATCAGCTTTGGTATACATTGGATTCTGCTTAGCAGTGGAAGAAGCATTATTAATCTGTGTGTATGAAATCTCTTCTTTCAGGTGACGTTTGAGGATGTGGTTGTACATTTCAGCGAGGAGGAGTGGGCCCTGCTGGGTCTGGATCAACGGAGCCTCCACTGGGAGGTCATGGAAGAAAATTATAAGATGGTGGCTTCTCTTGGTAAGAATCCCTTAGACCAGGGGTCCTCAAACTAAAGCCCGAGGGCCAGATACGGCCTTCCAAGGTCATTTACTTGGCCCTCGCTCAGGGTCAACCGAAGTCTGAAACGACTTGAAAGCACACAACAACAACAACAATCCCATCTCATCACCCAAAAGCAAGTCCACACTTCCCATTGAAATACTAATAAGTTTATATTTGTTTACATTATTCTTAATTTTAATTACTGTATTGCATTTAAGTGTTTTTTGCACTACAAGATATGATATGTGCAGTGTGCATAGGAATTCATTCATGTTATTTCTCAAATTATAATCCGGCCCTCCCAACAAGGGACTGTGAACTAGCCCTCTGTTCAAAAAGTTTGAGGACCCCTGCCTTAGACTCTTTTGTCATTGGAAATCATTTTCGGAATTTCTTTCACCTTGTGTATAATTGTATCTTGTGATATCCTTTAGGGTTAAGCATCAAGGAATGTTGACAAGGAATCTTGAGATTTTGACAAGCTGGAATGTGTCCAGAGAAGGGCAACTAAAATGATCAAAGATCTGGAGAATAAGCCCTATGAGGAACGACCCAAAGAGCTGAGCATGTTTAGTTTGCAGAAGAGAAGGCTGAGAGGAGACATGATGAGGACCAAGATGTGAGGGGAAGTCATAAGGAAGAGGGAGCAAGGTTGTTTCATGCTGCCCTGGAAACTAGGATGCAACTAGGATGCAGCAGAGCAATGGAGCTGTGTACAGGGAGCATACCACCCTCCTGTTACGTCAGCTCCACTAGCTGCCAATCTGCGACCAAGTACAGTTCAAAGTCTTGGCCTTGGCCTATAAAGCCCTAAATAGTTCTGGACCGGCTTCCTTGTCCAAATATATCTCCCTCTACGACCTTCCTCAGAGATTAAGATCCGAGAAGATCGGAGAAGGCCCTACTCTCAATCCCATCACTCTCGCAAGTACTGCTGGTAGGGATGAGAGACAGGGCCTTCTCAGTGGTGCCCCCCTGGCTGTGGAACACCCTCCCATCCCACCTATCCTTTAGGAAAAACTTAAAACTTGGTTGTGGGACCAAGCATTTGAGCAGCAGACGCCGCGATAATGATGAGAATGATTTATTGAACTGACAATGGACTGAACTGGATTATGACTTGAACTTGCGTCATTTTAATTGGATGTTTTATATTTGATACTTTAGCTATTGTTTTAAATGTAAATTGTTATTATAATTGTCTTTGTTTGGACATCTTGTGGTTGCCGATTGTGAGGCCACCCTGAATCCCTCTCCAGGAGTGTGAAGGACAGGATACAAATGTATGAAGTAAATAAATAATAAATACCTCACACTGTGGCTTCTCTCACAGGCTTAGACCTTTCTCCCACTGAGGTTTACCTCAGACTGTCAGCTACTAAGCTGCAGGCATACCTGATTATATAGAACTGCAGCTTTTGCTGAGTCATTGCATCCATTTAACCCTTTCAGTGCTTGACTCAATTTTTTGTAATTAAAAATGCCTAGTTAATTTTTAATATTTCTGACAAGTTATATTTCTGGATTGCATGTCACATCATTCCCCACTTTGAGCTGTACTATAATGGGAGCTATCACCCAACAACGTCCAGAACACCACATGTTCCCCAAGCCTTAGATTAGACTGGTCTCTCTCCTCCATAGCAAGATTCCCACTGCTCCTTTTTTCCTCATTCTCTTACAATATTTGCACTCATTTATTGATTTCACCCTTCCATTTTCTCATGCATTCTTACTCTTCTTTTAAGGTGGTGATGGGCAGGGGAGTGAAAATGGAGAAGCGCCATATAAAGTGTGGATAAAAACAGAGAAATGTGAAGAAGAGGAAGAGGAGAACCTAAGAATGGAAGCAGAAGAAGACGGAATGAACCAGTGTTTTGTTGATATCTGGGAAATTCAAGAAAAATCAGACGAAACCAGGGAGATCTGGAACTACCTTGCCTATGAGAAAGGCTTCCTCCATGAGGGATCGCACATTAAAGATGACATCACAAACCACATAGAGGAAGGGCAACCTAATTGCTACCAATCAGGAGAAAGCTTTGGGTGTAGCATATATCTTACGAACCATGAGGAATACCATATGGTAGAGAAGCCATATAAATGCCTGGAGTGTGGGAAAGGCTTCTATCACAGTGCAAATCTTAGCAGGCACAAAAAAACGCACATGGTTGAGAAACCCTATAAATGCCTGGAGTGTGGAAAGGGCTTTGCTGAAAAGAGGAATCTCATAGGGCATGAAATGAATCACAGGGGAGAGAAACCCTATAAGTGTCTGCAATGTGGGAAGGGCTTTAGCTACAAATCAGTGCTCAAAAGCCACCAGAACAGTCATATGGAAGAGAAATCATACACATGCCAGGAGTGTGGGAAGAGCTTCAGTTGGAGATCGACCCTCACGCGGCACCAAAAAACGCACTTGGGAGCAAAGCCGTATGCATGCTTGGAGTGTGGGAAATGCTTTGCCGAAAAGAGAACTCTCCTTGGGCACGAAATGAACCACAGAGGAGAGAAACCCTATCAATGTTCGAAATGCGGGAAGTGCTTCAGCTTCAAGTCAGTCCTCAAAACTCACCAGAATAGTCACACGGAAGAGAAATCGTACACGTGCCTGGAGTGCGGGAAGAGCTTCAATCAGAGAGCAACTCTCAAGAGGCACCAAAACAGCCACTTTGGAGAAAAGCCACACAAATGCCTGGAGTGTGGAAAGTGCTTCCACCAAAGAGGAGACCTCAGTCGGCACGAAAAGACCCACATCGGAGAGAAGCCGTTTAAATGCCTGGAGTGTGGGAAAGGCTTTGCTGAAAAGAGGAGCCTCCTTGGGCACGAAATGATCCACAGGGGAGAGAAACCCTATAAATGCCTGGAGTGTGGGAAGAGCTATAGCTACAAATCAGTCCTCAAAACTCACCAGGAGAGCCATAGAGCAGAGAAGGCGTACATCTGCCAAGAGTGTGGAAAGAGCTTTAGTAAGAGGTCGGCCCTCGCTAGACACCAGAATATTCACGCCATGAAGAAAACGCAGACAGATGAAAAGCCACCATGGCTTTTGTGTAGTTTCCCTCCAGTTGATGCAAGCGGTCTTGGATCATCTTTTGACACAAGTTGAGTACTGGTCTTGTGATACTATTTGTGCTTTTCTGACTGATATGATGTTTTCTTTTCTGCGGTAAGTTCTTTTGTTTGGTGCTTGTTTTGGAAACTTCTTTATGATTCGTTCAGTTTCTTCTCGGCTTTTGCAGATTTGGACAAATCAAGGTTTTATGTGGCCTCAGGGTGTAATGGTTTGAGCATTGGACTGCCACTCTGGAGACGAGGGCTCGAAGTCTCATGTGGGAATGGAAACTCGCTTGATGACCTTGATCAAGTCGCCTTCTCTCAGCCTCAGTGGAAGGCAGAAGCAAAGCCCCTTGGACACATCCTGCCAAGAAGTTCCTGTGCTAGTGTTGCCTTAGAGTAGTATCTCTCAACCTTCCAAATGCCGCGACCCCTTAATACAGGTCCTCATGTTGTGGTTGTTGCACAGCAAGTGGATCTTAGCCACATCCCAAGCACAAGACATTCAGGCAAGAGTAGAAATGAACAGAAAAATCTTTACTCTTAATAGCAAAGATGAAACACAAACTTGTGCATACAAAAACAAACAGTGCAGGAAACTTACATAGTCTTTGTAAGTAACACAAAATAAGGCATCTTCATCTTAAGTCAAATGAGAAAGCAAAACATAAACCTTGAGAAAAAGCTCTCCAGAACTGTATTCTAAAAACCCATACAGTTATACCCTATCAGGTGTGGTCCAAGATTGCTGGTTGACCTACATTACCAGCTGCACATGATAATTACCATCATAAGGTTTTTCTTCAACACACACACACACACGGTCCTGCTACAACTTACTTTAACAGTGATGACTCCCAACCATGACATTATTGTCGAAGGCTTTCATGGCTGGAATCACTGAGTAGTTGTGTGTCCAAGATTGCTGGTTGACCTACATTACCAGCTGCACATGATAATTACCATCATAAGGTTTTTCTTCAACACACACACACACACACACTTGGTCCTGCTACAACTTATTGTAACAGTGGTGACCCCCAATCATGACATTATTGTCGAAGGCTTTCATGGCTGGAATCACTGAGTTGTGTGTTTTCCGGGCTGTCTGGCCATGTTCCAGGAGCATTTTCTCCTGACGTTTTGCCCACATCTATGGCAGGCACCCTCAGAGGTTGAAGCGTCTGTTGGAAACTAGGCAAGTGGGGTTTATATATCTGTGGAATAATGTCCAGGGTGGGAGAAAGAACTCTGTTCTGTTTGAGGCAAGTGTGAATGTTGCAGTTGGCCATCTTGATTAGCATTGAATGGCTTTGCTGCTTCAAAGCTTGGCTGCTTCCATCCTGGGGGGGAATCCTTTGTTGGGAGGTAAACACAACAACCCATAAAATTATTTTCGTTGCTACTTCATAACTTTAATCTTGCTACTGTTACGAATCATCATGTATATATCTGATATGCAGGATGTATGTTCATTCACTGGACCAAATTTAGCACAAATACCTGATATGCCCAATACTGGTGGGGGGGGGGGATTGATTTTGTCATTTGGGAGTTGTAGTTGCTGGGATTTATAGTTAACCTACAATCAGAGAGCATTCTGAACTCCACCAATGATGGAATTGAACCAAACTTAGCACACAAAACTCCCACAACTAACAAAAATATTGGAAGGGTTTGGTGGGCATTGACCTTGAGTTTTGGAGTTGTAGTTCACCTACATCAAGAGAGTACTGTGGACTCAAACAATGGCACGAATAATCAATATGCCCAAATGTGAACACAGATGGAGTTTGGGGGAAACAGACCTTGACATTTGGGAGTTGTAGTTGCTGGGATTTATAGTTCACCTATCAATCAAAGAGCATTCTGAACTCCACCACAGAATTGGGCCAAACTTCCACACAGAACCCCCATGACCAATGGAAATACTGTGTTTTCTTGGTCTTTGGCATTCCTTCTGACACCCCCTCATGAACTCCCCCCCCCCCCCCGGGGTCCCAACCCCCAGGTGGAGAAACGCTGCCTGTAATTTGGCATCGACTTGGAAGGCATGGAATAACATGTTTGTGGAGATGTAATACAGGTTCGATCAGATTAATATGTATCCTCTGTCATTCAGTAAATGAAAGTGGCCCTAGGACAGTCCATAGAATCAAAGAGTTGGAAGAGACCTCATGGGCCATCCAGTCCGACCCCATTCTTCCAAGAAGCAGGAAAACTGCATTCAAAGCACCCCCGACAAATGGCCATCCAGCCTCTGTTTAAAAGCTTCCAAAAAGGAGCCTCCACCACACTCCAGGGCAGAGAGTTCCACTGCTGAACGGCTCTCACAGTCAGGAAGTTCTTCCTCATGTTCAGATGGAATCTCCTTTCCTGTAGTTTGAAGCCATTGTTCCGCGTCCTAGTCTCCAGGGAAGCAGAAAACAAGCTTGTGCTTCCTCTCACATATTTATACATGGCTATCATATCTCCTCTCAGCCTTCTCTTTCTCAGGCTAAACATGCCCAGCTCCTTAAGCCGCTCCTCATAGGGCTTGTTCTCCAGACCCTTGATCATTTTAGTCGCCCTCCTCTGGACACATTCCAGCTTGTCAATATCTCTCTTCAATTGTGGTGCCCAGAATTGGACACAATATTCCAGGTGTGGTCTAACCAAGGCAGAATAGAGCATGGGGAGCATGACTTCCCTAGATCTAGACACTACACTCCTATTGATGAAGGCCAAAATCCCATTGGCTTTTTTTGCCACTGCATCACATTGTTGGCTCATGTTTAACTTGTTGTCCAAAGCAGAAATAAGTTGTCATGGAGACCACAGAGCTGTTCAAATCTTCTGTTCCTGATCCAGTAACAGTGGGGTAGTCTTTATGTCAGAACCAATTTGGCATCGTTGGACCGTCGACCTTACCACTTTTTGTCAGACAGCCACAAAGCTCTGGGAGAACTCCTAGAAGTGGATGTACAATCCCTTCCCTGTGTGGTCACAGGGGCACCTTTTGTGATGTCAACAAAGGTTGTGTTGTCCAGAATCTCCTTTGAGTTCTGTGGCCACAGAAATGGGTGTGACATAAGTCCAGTCAGTCACTTTTTCTCTGTACTGAAAAGTGAAGGGAAAAGTGGTTGTTAGCATTGTCTCACTCTGGTTCTAGACTGGAAGTCCCTGGACATCATGAGGATTTCCAGAAGTGAGTTCTGGTCTGCTTTGAGTTTTAGGTTCAGTATAGACCATTTTAGTTTGCACATAAAATATTGGGAAATCGTTGTCTTAAATCAGTATTTCTCAACCTGGGGGTCGGGGCCCCTGGAGGGGTCGCGAGGAGGTGTCAAAGGGGTCACCAAAGACTATCCGAAAACACAGTATTTTCTATTGGTCATGGGGATTCTGTATGGGAAGTTTGGCCCAATTCTAACATTGGTGGGCTTCAGCGTGCTCTTGGATTGTAGGTGAACTATAAATCCGAGCAACTACAACTCCCACATGTCAAGGTCTATTTTCCCCAAAGTCCACTAGTGTTCACATTTGGGCATATTGAGTATTGGTGCCAAGTTTCGTCCAGATCCATCATTGTTTGAGTTTACAGTGCTCTCTGGATGTAGGTGAACTACAACTCCAAAACTCAAGGTCAGTTCTCATCAAACCCTTCCAGTATTTTCTGTTGGTCATTGAAGTTCTGTGTGCCAAGTTTGACTCAATTCCATCATTGGTGGAGTTCAAAGCGCTCTTTGATTGTAGGTAAATCCCTGCCTACCCTGGATGGCGGGGCGCTACGCCCGTCATCATTGGTCAAGAGTCTGGGAGTCCTTTTGGACCCTCTGCTGACGATGGAGGCCCAGGTCTCTGCCGTTAGCAGAACCACCTTTTTTCACCTGCGGCAGGCTAGACGGCTGGCCCCCTCCCTGTCCAGGGACGACCTAGCTACGGTGATCCAGGCCACGGTCATCTCAAGACTGGACTACTGTAACGCCCTCTACATTGGCCTTCCTCTGTCGGTGATCCGGAAGCTCAAGTTGGTACAAAATGCAGCTGCTCGGCTTCTTGCGGGAATTCCGACGAGATGCCACATAACACCAATCTTACGGCAGCTGCATTGGTTACCAATTGAGCACCGAACCACTTTCAAAGTGATGGTACTCACCTTTAAGGCCTTGCATGGTCTGGGGCCGATGTACCCGAGGGACCGCCTCACCCCCCCAACCCCAGAGATCCCTCCGTTCTGAGGACCAAGATCTATTGGAAATTCCCAGTGTCAAGACCTTGCGTCTAACAGCAACCAGACGCAGAGCCTTCACAGCAGTGGCACCATCACTCTGGAATACTCTGCCACCTGAAGTCCGTGCCTTGCGGGACTTACCAGCTTTCCGCAGGGCATGTAAGACATACCTGTTTCGACAGGCTTTTAATGTTTGATATTGCTGTTTTTAAATTGTTTTTAAATTGTGTTAGATTTTAGCCATTCTTGTAAGCCGCTCCGAGCCCCAGGGGAGTGGCGGCATACAAGTTCAAATAATAAATAAATAAATAAACTCCCACATGTCAAGGTCTATTTTCCCCAAACTCCACCATGGTTCACATTTGGGCATATTGAGTATTGGTGCCAAGTTTCGTCCAGATCCATCATTGTTTGAGTTTACAGCGCTCTCTGGATGTAGGGGAACTACAACTCCAAAAGTCAAGGTCAATTCTCATCAAACCCTTCCAGTATTTTCTGTTGGTCATTGAAGTTCTGTGTGCCCAGTTTGGTTCAATTCTATTGTTGGTGGAGTTCAGAATGCTCTTTGATTGTAGGTGAACTATAAATCCCAGCAACTACAACGCCCAAATGACAAAATCAATCCCCACTAACCCCACCAGTATTCAAACTTGGGTGTATCGAGTATTTTTGCCAAATTTGGTCCAATGAATGAAAATACATCAGATATTTGCGTTACTTATTTATTTCAGTTACTTCTACCCCGCCCTTCTCACCCTGAAGGGGACTCAGGGCGGCTTACAAAAGCAAGGCACAATTCAATGCCCGCATCACATAACAGCAATAGAACAAAATAACATCAATTAACAATTAACAACAATTCTTGCATTACAACCATAAAACCAATACAAACCAATTTCTCCTCATTGACGGTCAGCGTTCGCTATCTCATAGGTCAAATTCCAATTCCGCAATTGTCAGTCCTGTCAGTCCTATTTGTCTGGTTGTCCTTATCTAGTTGTCAGATTGCCCAAAGGCCTGGTCCCACAACCACGTCTTTACCTTCCTCCTGAAGGAGAGGAGGGATGTTGATGCCCTAATTTCCCCCAGGAGTGAGTTCCACAGGTGAGGGGCCACCACTGAGAAGGCCCTGCTCCTCGTCCCCACCAACCTCACTTGTGATAGCGGTGGGGTCAAGAGCAGGGCCCCCCCCAGATGATCTCAAATTCCGGGGTGGGACGTAGAGGGAGATACGTTCGGACAGATACACTGGACCGGAACCGTACAGGGTTTTGTAGGTCAAAACCAGCACCTTGAATTGTGCTCGGAACTGAACCGGCAGCCAGTGGAGCTGACACAGCAGGGGGGTGGTGTGCTCCCTGTATGTCGCTCCAGTGAGCAATCTGGCTGCCGCTCGCTGGACCAGTTGAAGTTTCCGAACAGTCTTCAAGGGCAACCCCACGTAGAGTGTGTTGCAGTAGTCTATTTGGGATGTAACAAGAGCGTGGACCACTGTGGCCAGATCAATTGATAACAGTAGCAAAATGACAGTTATGAAGTAGCAACAAAAATGATTTTATGTTTGAGGGTCCCCACAACATGAGGAACTGGATTAAGGGGTCGTGGCATTAGGAAGGTTGAGAAACCCTGTCTTAAATGGAAAAGAAGAAAGGTGAAAGTATGAGAAAAGGGTAAGTTCAAGAAGACACCAAAGAGTCTCCCCAAGGTAGAAACTGTCCTAGCGGAATGGGAAGACCTTTGATGTGAGGACATATCTCGGCCCACCCCAAAGCATCCAGACAAGAAGACCTAGCTTTAGCACATTTCTCCAGATCGCCTGCTGTGTTATGGCAACTCCATGAATTCCTCCACCATTGTTCATTATGGACTTAGAAGAAATGGATTGCTGGGGATGGTGTGATTGGGAGTTTGGGCTGGCTATATAGTTTCTAATGCATTATTAATATTTTATGCTTAATTGTTTAACGATACAGAGGTTTGAATTGTATTTTAATTTTTATACTCCTATTTTAATGCGTTTGGTTTGCATTGTGTCATATTTATTGCCAGCCACCTTGAGGCCCTATACCAATGGAATTAAATATATCTATCTATAAATAAAAATATAATGTTCTTTTGTGGGATTATCATAACTCAAAAACTATTGGACGAGTTGACACCAGGTTTGGACACAAGACACCGATCAAGCCAACGA